ATGAACTGTGCTCTCAGTGGGCTTACACAGCCAGCTACAACGTAGCTCCAAAGGTGAACTGATGGCCACCAGAATTGTGGTCTCAGGTAATTTGAGGATGATGAAGACGTATGTGGCTTGTTACATTAGTCCCAGCAAAGAACCAAATGTGAAGGCGCATTTGGAGCTGTGTAAGCTAAAGCATCCAGGAGAGAACTATCTCGGTAATATTAGAGTGATGAGAGTTTAGGATTGGAAGAATTGTATTGAATGTACATAGTAGCTACATTTATATAGAGAATGAATTAACCTAATAATCTAACTAATAAACTCATATAAAGATATTTACAAATCTCTAGAATATATTCACAATATCTTCTTTTATCATATGGATCTTCTAGATCCTTCTATACGCCCCCTCAAGCTCAATGTGTGATGGAGCGAAGCGGAATCAATGGTTTGAGATTGACTTCAGATTGATCAAGTAAGAGCTGGTGTATTCTTTGGACTTTGTGGAAGACGTTGAATGCACGTGCTGAACAAGCGGATGGGAGGACAACAAACCATGACAACGAGGCGACAAAGATGCAAGAGAGATGCGATATGATTGCGGTGAAAGCCTCAATAGCATGAAGAACGGTGTTGACCATGGCGGTTTTGAGCCAGTGGGATGTGGCAGTGGAAACTGTGCTTGGGTGGAGATAGGCTCGTGACTTAGTTTCTTGAGGAAGAAGAAATAGAGTTTATTTTCTTCCTTTTTATGTTTTTTTTTAATTTTTTTTATTGAAAGAACACGATGAAAACTTTTTTTATATATATGACTGAAATCAAAAATCAAAAATTGGAACGAAAACTTGTAGAACATGTTTTTTTTAATAGAATAAAAAATACAACGAGAAACCAAAAAGAAAAAAAAATATATATAAAATATCTAATTTTTATTTTCTTTTGAATGTATCAAACCTAATTAGAACGTAGAAAAATAAAACCAACGCAGCCACTTATTATTTATTTTTTTGTGAATAAGAAAAAGAGACAGATAGAGATGGGAAGGGGAAACAGAGAGGAAGTAGACCAGCCATTTGTGTAAGAAGAAGCAAATGACGGTGAAAAAGAAGAAATGTAGAGAGAAAAAGGAGTTTGATCGTTAGATCTATAACTCGGAAACACTCTGGCTTAGATTCAGAGGTCCATGATATAATTAAATTTTAGAAGCACTTGGCTTAAGAAAAAAAATGAAAAAGAAGTTTGATCACCAGATCAAAACTTTGGAGCAAACCTGCTATGATACCATATTAGAGTGATGAGAGTTTATGATTGGAATAATTGTATATTGACTCACATTGATTGAATGTACATAGTAGATACATTTATATAGAGAATGAATTAACCTAATAATCTAACTAATAAAATCATATAAAGATATTTACAAATCTCTAGAATATATTCACAATATCTTCTTTGATCATATGGATCTTCTAGATCCTTCTATAATCCGAGCTAAGCTTGGACTATGGGTCAGCAGATGAACTGAACGGGAAGCTCTTAATCTGTAACTGAGTAGCTTCTATAGCTTGTTTCTGTATTTTTCTATGTCTTTACCGAGATAGCTCTCCGGGATGCTTTAGCTTGAGGCATTTTCTCAAATCAATGTTCTTTCTACATCTCTTATCATAGGAGTCTCATTGTCTGTATTCTCTCTCTCTCTGTTTTGCTCCTATGGCATTTCTTTCTTGCTTTAGCTTGGGGTAATATCTCAAATCAATGTTCTTGCTACTCTCCATCTCTTATCATAGGAGTCTCATTGTTTGTACCATTTGCTAGTTCACATGCCAAAGTCTTACCGTTTTAGAGTTTTCCTTAAATGCAATCAATTTTGTATTCTCTCTCTCTCTCTGTTTTGCTCCTATGGCATTAATCTGTTGCAACAATGATGCAGATGGAGAATACTTTGACAAATTAACATAAACCTTTCTCTGTTAGTTCGCTGTTCTGTTTTTCCTTCTCTCTTCGATATCTGCAAGGCAAGATAAATGTTTTTTCTACATCTCTTATTATAGGAGTCTCATTGTCTGTACTTGCATGCTCACATGCCAAAGTCTTGCCATATTTGAGTATTTCCGAAATTTGTTTTGTTGCTAAATTAAACCAATCACATGATTCAGTGAAGAATTAAGGTAGATTCCATTTTATAAACCAGACCAATTTATTGTGATAGATAATACATATTTGGAAAGTTACAAATAAAAGAAATGAAAATTGCCCCAAGAAAAAAAGAAGAAGAAATGAAATATCTATCACACTACAACAAGACATGTTTGGACCACACACAAACTCAAGTGTAATTTAATCGTGTGTGATAACTAACATCTTTTTAATTATTTTTGCTTTTACATTTGATCTATATTGTGTGGTATCAACCAAATGTTTTATTTGTTTTACAAAAACCGATATGAGTCTCTTCCAAAATTTCATTCTACATTTCATAATTCTTATTGTAAAAGTTCACGATATCTATTTTTTGTTTGTCATTCATTTTAATTTCTAGGCTGAGCTCAAATTTCTCGAAAATTCTGTTGTAACATTATGGAGGCAGAAGCTATAACTCTTTTTTGGATCATGACATGTTTGGATAATCTTGGCTATGAAGAGGTAATTTTTGAGAATGATTCAAAGATATTGGTGAAAGCGGTAGCTGAACCTCGAGAATGGCCAAGGTTCATAGTTTATACCAGAGAAATTAACATGACAAGTAATAAAATAATTTGACCAACTATCACTTTCCAAGCAAGGAAGACAAGCCAACCAATGTGTTGATCTTACAGCCAATAAAACTTCTTCATATGAAGTTTTTTTTTTAAGTTCTTCATATGAAGTTCATTATGCATTCTTGATTATAGTACTCTTTGGTTGAGAAGGAGAAACGGATTTATATGAAATATGTTTGTGCTCGAAAAACAAAAAAAATGTGGCATCATGTTAAAATGATGATAATTCTCCTAAATGAACAACAACAAAAAAAAATGGATGATAACTCCTCGATTACTGGGTTTGATTCTATACTGTATTACTTGTCGGTTATATATTCTCATTTCCAATTAACTTTTCCATTTTATTATAACATATTATGACGTCAAAAAGAAATTATAACATGGTGAAATACAAACGATAGAACTATTTAAGTGGCAATAATAAGATGATGTAAGAATCTGATCTGATACTACAGCAAATAGATATTTGTGCTTGGGTATGCCTAGATATTATAAGCAAGTTGGTCATAAATACAAATACGTTCTGAAAATGTACCAAAGAGATATCTAGCAACCTCCTCCACCACCACCACCGCCACAACCTCCTCCTCCACCACAACCTCCTCTACCACCACAACCTCCTCTACCACCACAACCGCCTCCACCGCCAGACGCTCCAAAAATATATGGTCTATGTTTCGTCTCATTTTTTTCAGATTTTTTTTCACCGGTGCAAACAAATACGGCCATGGCTATTACGGAGAAGGTGGCTGCAACCACCAATATCCCACAAACTAAACCAAAGCCACTGGTTCGAACGTCGCTCAATATGCTTCTCACCATATTCTCTTGTGTATATTTTGGTTAAGTTTGAGACTTTGGATTCGGTTTTGGTAAGGATTTATATATGCTTTTGGATGTGTGAGAAATAAAAAGCATTATTTGTAGGTAATTCTTTAATGGACAATGTTGGCTTACCGCGTACGTTAGGTGTGTCGGTGTGTGGTTACGTAAGAGTAATACGTAAAAATCTACAAGTTTCTTTGATGTCATGTAAGAAAATTTTGGTTTATATGAGGTGGCTACTTTTCAACGTGCTTAGATTTGGTTCAATATAAGCGATGCTTAAAAGTCTTATGATAAGGTCCCTCTGGCTACTTTTCAACGTGCTTTAACATTTGGTTCTATATGAGGGATGCTTAATAGTCTTATGATAAGGTCCCTGGACTTTCATGGATGGTCGTAATCCATACCTTGGAATATTTTGTTTACTAATTCATTATTTGGTTTTGAAAATTTGAAACAAATTTATATTAGATTCTGCATTTACTTGATATTTTTATGTATAGACCTTTGTGGAACCAACCCATTTATTTGGGGAGGTTAATATAATTGTTAGATTATCAGCATGTTCTATCTGTCATTTAACTAGATATAGATTGGTTAGTAAAGTAAATCAGTCATAATCGGCTAAGACCTAAGGTCAATTCATTTTCTAAAATCAAAAACATTTATTATGATAGATATTTGGCTAGTGGTATATGCTCGTACTCATAAAATAATCGAATGATGTTTGTATACATGCAAGTCGTCCTCATTTAATTTTCTAAACCAAAACCATATATGATCAACGAGATTTTGGTTTGTATATGCTGAGTCGCTAATCGTACGTATTCGTAGTTAAGTAAAACCAAAGACACTCACCAAAGACCAAGAGATATCTCACTAGCAACCTCCTCAACCACCACATCCGCCTCCACCAATGCAACCGCCACAGCTACCCGAATCCTTCTTCTTTTTCTTCTTTTTGGAGCAAAGCAAAGACCACCATGGATACAAGTGATAAAGACAGAAGAATCATGAAGATCAAGAACAAAACATCCCTAAAAGGCCAAAAGCAGTAGCTTCTTTCATATCTATCTACCTGATGAAGAAACCTTTTAAATTTTTTTTTTCTTTTTACTTTCTCTATAAACATTTGATCCTTCCATGACACTAAAAGTAGTTGAAATTTGAATTTATTACACCAATATATTGTTGCAATCTAGTCAAGGTATTCAATTCAATTCTGCAGTTTTCAGGTTTCCTTTCTAGTGCTCTCTCTACATTTCAAAAACATAATTACAGAAGAACAAAAAATATTCTAATAGTAAAGAATAAAGAAGGGAAAAGAAGCAGTGTCACGTGGAATTATGGAGTATTATTGCCACAAAATCTCTGTTAACATGAGCTGTACATCACTTCAACAAGAAACCCCCACCACAAGTGACAGACAACATTTGAGACAATTATCTCCATAGCTTTCTCTTTTTAGGAACCTTTTAATTCAGATTTACACAAATAATTAAAGAGAAAACTTGGAAGATGAGTTAAAAAAAAAAAAAAAAAAAAAAACCAAACATTATTGGCAGAGCCTTTTATTGTTGAAATTTACAAGTTTTTGGTGTGGAAAATTTACAGTCTCTGCATTACCTCCGGTAAGAATTTTTTTTGTCTTGCTATGACTCTGGTATAGGGTTGAGTGTCTCCTGAAAGACCAAAACATGTTCAACAAGTAAGCTAATCAATTTGCAAAAGAAAAAACATTCGGCCAAGCAATAAATTTGTAAATTAAGACACATTTGTTTACCTTCGAGAAGCATACAAACCCTTGCTGTGTGTTGGAGGTTTTAACCATAGTTTCCCACTTGGGATTTGCTTGAATCTTGGTAACGTGATTATTATTTTCTGTGCCAAGAGACTGTAACCATGTGAATGAGTTTTTCTTTGATGGGATTGTTGGTAAGGTACGCTTTAACCAAGAATCTGAAGGAGCTTTTGGTAATGGTGGTGGAGGAACAATGTGATAAGTTGAACGATGATGAAGCCTGGAACTTTCAAGATTTGTAGTGTTTCTCTGCAATTGGGCTTCAAGATCAATCTTCTCCTTTGTAATCTCTTCTACCACAATGGATTTTGGCAGTGCAACAACAATAGCGTGATCAGGACATTCTTCAACTTTTAGACTTGAGAATTCAGTAGTATCCTCATCTCTTTTAACATATATTTTCTCTTCTTCCCCAGCTCCAATCAAGCTCTGAGCATCTTCTTTAACAGGAACAACATCTACTGAAGGATAATCTTTTAGTAAAGATTCCTCCTTGAACTCTTCTTGCACCTTCTTGTCTACTGAATGCACAGTGTCTACATACAGAGTTTTCTCGGCCACAGGAGCCTCCAATGAAGGCTTCCATGTAGTATCATCACTAGCCAAAAGCTCACCAAAGTTTTTGCTGATTTTAGTGCGTGAAGCTGCGCTCTCTTTTCTTTCTGGAGTAGAAGATACTGGAAATGAAGGCCCTTGTGCAACTGATCCATTTAGCTTCAGCTTCCTCTTATCTTCATTCACAGTTTCATTGGTTTGCTATGAAGAGAAAAAGAAGGAAATTTAATCAGAAAAAACAAAAAAAAAAATACTTTCAGTGAGATGATGAACAAAGACGGTGAGAAGGAGAAAGTAAACAATTCACCTTGTTCTGAATTTCATTACAAGGAGTAGAATCTTGATACTTAGAACGCATACGGCGAACAGAAACAGCTCTTTGTGCCTGCATTCTCACAGATGGAACCAAATTCAATACTCCAAAAGAGCTTCTCAAGCATATCTGAGGTACTAATCCACAAACACCAGAACCCATGCTGCTCGTGTTTTTTCCCACTTCCTCTTGTTGGAATCGATATGGATTCTGCTCGGCTTTGTTCTGTTTCTCTTTTACCAACACTAGCTTCTTCATGGCCGGTTCCTCTGGTTTAGGCGGTTTCCTAGCAAGAAGTGGAGGTGTTTCTGAAGTCAAGGCTTTAGCTGCAGGCAAGAATCTCCCCATCATTAGATCCTGAGTTTTCCGATCACTCGATAAGGTCCCAAATGGCTCTACTAGTATCCCCTGACCATCCACACCACTAACATTACTACAGTTAAAGAAGAATGACTCGGTTCTTGAAAGCGTATCAGTTGCATCAAGATATGTCTCATCACTATCATCATCGTACCGAGAACTATAACTCTTTGCATCCTCCACATTACTACGAGTATCAGTTTCAGATTTCTTCCCTGATTCTTCTCGTTCTCTACTACCATTCATAACTCTCCTCCCAGGAGGAAGCTTTGGCACAAAATGTGTCTCCACAAGACCTTGTGAATCCGGTTTTCTTTCGTCTTTTGGTTTACCCGGTTTGTGTTCCCATTGAAAAGGGACTGTTCCTGGATTCCTCACAGGACCTGACTTGATATCAGACTTGTAAACCGGTGGAGAAGGAGGAATCTTGCTGGTTAATGAATCAGAAGATGTTGCTTTGCTCTCTGATTCTGAAGCTTGCGTAGGCCGTCTAACTGAGATAAGCGGGCGGTTGAAATCCAATTGCTTCTCTTCCATCATCATCATTAGCATCTAATCCCTTGTTTCTGCAATAATTTAAATCATCGTCAGAACAACGTCGAACACCATGTAAATTTGCATAGCAGCTCTGTTTCTTCCTTTTCAAGAATCTAAGCCAAGCTTGTCACAGACCCATCAAATCAAAACTCATTGATTCATTACTCAAAGAGAGAAATAGGTGGTCTTTAGCCGCCTTGACTGATACCATAAGCTTCTTGAAAACTTATCCAGATTTTCTTTCTTCGTCAAACAAAGTTTCCAGGCAGAAATAAAGATTTAATATTTAAAACCCCACAAAAAATACAGATTCAAATGGTATACGCGTGAGCCCATAATTTATGAATCCAAATCAATTAGACAGAATTTTGGAAAAACGAAGAAAAAGATTTAATCTTTTTTTTTTCTCTTCCCAATCGTAATCTGCCATTAATACGCAAAAACAGGAATACATACACGCATATACATATTCGTACTTACTGTGTATAAAGCAGACAAATAGAGAGGGGGAAAAACTAAGCTGAAGATTGAAATTCTTCTTGAAGAAACAGAGCAAGAAAAGTAGCTTCCAATTGAAAACTCGTAAGTTGTGGCAGCGAAATGGATTTCAAATAACACTGCAGCAAGAATAAGACGATCCAGAGAGAAATATTCACATATTGATATAGAAATACAGATAGAGAGAGGAAGTGAAATACCAGTGAAAATACGCGGGATTGAAGAGAAAGAATGAGAGAGAGAGCAGAGAAGAGGAGAAGTGATTTGGGAGAGAAAATGATGAAGAGAGGTGGTGATGAAAGGAATATAATGAGGTTGTCATATTCGTAATTCGTCTTTTTCTTTCTTGTCAAAATAACTTATATAATGCATGTTGATTAATTTACTAATACTTAAAATGGAATTTTTTATTTTTTTCTTCTTATTTTTTTTTTTTAATTTTATTTTCGGTTCACACTAGCTAGTTATCTTTCCTAGTCTCCCTATCAAGTATATGAACATGTACTTTCTTTACGATCATATCATGTGCTCCGTATAATAGGGACTAGGTGGAATTTAGTAGGCATGCAAATAGGTATTGTTTGTTATGTTCAAAGATTTAATTATCCGAATCAGTTAAATACTATAATGATTAAATTGGACATTTTCAGAGATTTAACTATGAATCAATGGTTGGAAAAAAAAACAATGAATAAAAATGGATAACTACCACATGGTGTTCTTCAGCTTTCTATGATAGAGGATGGGACGATAAGTATATACTAATCTCTTAGGTTAAGGTATTGGTCCTATAGGCAACGAGAACTATACAATATTTCTTAAGATTATATCTTTTAAACTTTACGTTGTATACAATAGTTTTGTTTTTAACATATTGTAGAACACATACTGTATTCGAAATAAATAAAAAAAAACAGTATCAATAATTTAATATATAAAGTTTGTGAATGAGTTAAAGGGAACAGATCGAACTTACATGAGAAAGATACAAACAAATAACAAGAGTGCAAAAAGTTATTAGTATAAATAATGAAGAGGAGAATATGTAGTGGGGGGGAAAAAAAAGAATATAGCAGGTGCTAGGTTGTCAAAAATATAGTATTCAAACAAATAGACAGTAGTGACCAAAACGAGAAAGAAAGGAACCTTTTACAGTATTAACATTGGGAGTGTTATAATGATACGTTACTTTTGATTCCCAACTAATGATACGTTACTTTACATTCTTGATTTCAGAAATTGTTTTTATCTGATATATTACTACTATGAATCCAAAATTTAGGTCATTTACCTCTGACATTTTTTTGGTAACTAGTCAAGGTGTAGTTAAATTCTAGTCATTCTTTATATTCATAATAAACTTCATTTTGATAGGAAAAAACCCAACTCTACCAAGAAAATGTCTTTGTCTATTAAACTTAAAAAACTGCGAGGACAAAGGGTACTCAATAGTCAATACAGTCATCAGATCTCCATTCTTTCGTCATAAAATCATGTGAGGGTGGTCATCGGTTACTTTTCTCTTTGTATTTGGTATTTATTGACGTGCGAATCCGTGAAAGGAAGTTATTTTTTAAAAAAACATTCAACTTAATCATCAATTATCGATTATATGACCGACGTAACTGGTCTGGTGGCATGGTCAACTTATTACAACAAAGTTCCTTTCATTTCTCGAGCCTTTAATAAACATATCTGGAATGTTTTTTTTTATTTGCAAACGTATAACTGGTTGTTTTTTGTTTTTCTAGTAAACTGGGGTTTTCTGAATCTTTTTTTTTTTTGGATATAAAGTGGTTTTTTTGAATCAGTTTAGAATCATAATTCTGATATGTAACTCAGATCATCTAAATTAGATGTGAGATGTTTGCTAGTCCGAATGTGAGCTTTTAGTTATTTATTTAACATGATGTAGCTTTCTTTTGCAATCATTTCGCCTGTCAACTAGATAATTATTAAAATATTTTAGTTACTTTATAAACACAAAAAATATATATCCAGCAATGCACCGGTATCCTATAAAAATATCAAATGGTCGAATCATCTACGGACTACGGATAAGCAATCAATACACAAACAAATTAATCAATGAGACGAAGACAATAAAATACGTCATATTCGTTCGTTTCTCTCTTACCTAAATCTTACTCTCATTTCATTTCTATTTTATATTCTTTAAATAATAATAGTATTAGTGATTGATAAAATAAAGTTTTATGTGTCAAATAAAATAAAGTTATTCCACTCGTTTGAGTCTTTTAGCTGTAACATTGAAACCATTAGCAGATTTCGTATCTTTCAACTGATCAAAGAGGATACCATATCAGAGTACACTCAAATTCAAATAAAATGTTCTGCTACACGTAGTTTTTTCTTTTACCATATTTTTTTTATTTTGCATCGTAACGTATAATTTAAATGTTTAAAGAAAATATCAGAGTTGTAAATACTATCATACAGTTAGTGAGAGAGGTAGAAACCAGAATATAACATATACGTATACTTATATACAATAAAGGTTTGTTGTATTTGGGTTTGAGAATAACTTTGCAAATGGGTCATAAGATCTGAAGCATTCTGGCCCAAGTTAAACTATATGTTTCCTTTCATAATTATTAGCTTCTTTTTCTCTTGTTTTACGATACTTCTACTAATTTTGTTTTTGGTTTAAAAATATCTGAATAATCAACATAAATCATTCCATAAGACAAAATTCGACAGATGTAAAATTAACATTTAATTTAGGATATTTCAGCTACGCTTTGATCAGAAGATTCGGTAATGTTACAAATATATCTGATCGTATTCGGTAATAGTATTATATGACCATGTATACGACAACTTTTTTTTTTTTGACATCGTATACGACAACTATTATGCAAAAAATAAAGGAAAGTCATCTATCGACCAAAAGAACTAAGCATTCTTACGTATTATATGAGAACTAAAAGTCTGGTTCACGACTAGTGCTATCCAAAACCTCAAACATAGAGTGTTAATTTATCGTCATGATGTGGTAAATGGCGGTGTAAGGATACTTATTGTCCAATTTTTGTTCAACTTCATTTGTGAATTGTGATCAATTCATAATCGCAAAATCGATATTCAAAGTGTCATATAAAAGGAATTCAAGAGATACAGAAAAAAAAAAAGTCTACTTATGGAGAACGAAGATATTTAATTAGTAAGATTCTTATGGTCTCATTTCGCACGTGCGTCATTTTGTTTTATGTCATCTGCCGACAATTTCTCACTGTGGTCCGTCTTAGTCGTACACTCGTACAGACTAGTACCTTTCAGTTTATTTAAATTACATTATCTTAGGAATCTCAAACTCATTACACTTATAGTGTTTCCACTATTATTGCATTTCCTTTTCCTGATCATGAGTGTTTTTTCGTAATTGCAATAATTTTTCATTTCCAGTTAACCAGACAGAGTAATACATTAAAAAAAGAGAAATATATATATTTACAGATATAGTAACGTACGAATAAATAAAGTAGGGTCCAATGGGAGCAGCCATTGACTTGGAATCATATGAAATCTGAGAGACAGTTAAGAGGCCCAACAGCCCATCGCCAGCTGGATTTCCCTTACAAATGGGTCCCATATCTCCAAATCCGTACTCCCAAAAGTCACGTGACCTCTCCTCCATCTCTCTTCACTATCTATCTCCCCCCCCCTCCTTCCCACGTGACCTCTCTTTCTCTCTCTCTTTCTTCTTCTTCTCTTCTTCGTCTTCGTCTTCTCTCCTTCATTTTTTCTCAGACGAGCCTCTCTCTCCGATATGCTCTGTGCCCTCATTGTTATCGACGGTACAATCGATTCTCACCGATCCTTCCTTATTTTAAGAATCATATATATTTGATTTTGTTTCAATCCAATTCTCTTCTCGTTTCGATTGCATTTGACCGTCTTCCATTTGAATTAGATTGGCGTTCGATTGTTTTAAATTCGTTACTCATGCGGATCCGCAGGAATAAAGCTTACTACAGATAAATGCGTTTCTCTCGTTTATTGAATTCGGTATCTGTATTCTGTAATGTGGGTTTTCATTGTTTTAGGAGATTTCGAGGTTTCATTAGTGCTTGCTTTAGGAGATTTTAAAAGGTTCCTATAGTGTCCTGTTAATTGCATTCTGGGTTGGCTCATCGAGCTAGAATTAGGATGATTTAGCTTCTCCACATGACTCATCAATGTGTGATGATTTTTTGATTCTGCAGTTTTATTTCCATGGTTGTATTTTTTGTTTTTGCCGGTGAACTTTACTTTCTTGTGCAGATTTTTTGAGGTTATTCCTCGAATCTTTCTGATAATTAATTCTTGTGGGCCAAAGAGGGTGTAATAACGAATTGATGACATAAAGTTTCTTTACTCATAGAGTGAGTCTTCTTGGTTTGCTCATTTTAACCAATCCGGTGGGCAAACAAACCTAGTTTTATCCCATGTTCTTTGCTGTCTGCTGATTTTTTTTTCTTTTCTTCAGTTTCACGCTTTTCAGCTAATGTCTCTGTCTTACAAAGGTTACATGTCTTTTTCTCATTTAGTGCAGAAAGTGCAGATGGGTGAGGTTCTACACCAATCAGAGCATTGTTCTCGATTTAAAAAGCCTCTTATGGGGTAAAGAGATGGTGAAAATTAGTGATACATCATATAAACAATATTTGAAAGATGGAAGAGGGACGAGATGAATCAAGCACTTCACAGCAGGGATCTTCAAGTGCTACGTGTTGGCCTTCAGAACTTGCGGAAAGGGTCAAGTCACTTTCTTTTGAATCTCAAGGTGAAGCTTCGGTTAGGGAGTCCCCTAGAAGTGTTGACCAGGATGTCTCTCCTGGTCAGAGAGCATCACAGCACCTTTGGGATACTGGAATGCTCTCTGAACCGGTTCCTAATGGTTTCTACTCAGTTGTTCCAGTGAGCCATATGTCCACTTCCAGACTTTTCTTGTTTCTTTGCATGTGTTCTTGTCATTTGGCAAGATGGCATTCCTGCCTTTGGAGATCTTTCTTATTAGGATATACAGCTTCTGATGTGAAATTTTGCTGCAGGATAAGAGAATAAAAGAACTATATAATAGACTACCTACTCCGAGTGAGCTTCACGCTTTGGGAGAGGAAGGTGTCAGGATTGAAGTTATTCTTATTGATTTTCAAAAAGATAAGAAGCTCGCGATGCTGAAACAGCTGATCACTACACTTGTCAGCGGCGCAAATCCCGCTTCGGTGATCAAGAAAATAGCTGGAACGGTAGGAATAGTGCGATGCTCTTTTCTCTTTGTGCATTTAGTTCTTATACCGCGTCCGCTGTAGTGTTCTAGTCCACTCTCCTCCATTGTTATTCTGAAAAACGTTTCCTGGTCTTTATGTATTTTTACTTCAATCTCTGTTCAAGTTGGCCATAATAAGGGAGTTCATGTCATCATGCAATTGTTTTAGCAATGACTACTCCAACCAAGCAACAATGGGATGTCTTTCATCTGTGGCTTTGGTTGGAAGTTGGTGGAAATTTCTATGATTGTTAGTGCCCATTTGGATTATAAATTTTACTCTCCTCAAACAGGTATCTGACTTTTACAAACGTCCGACATTGGAAAGCCCTTCGAAACTTGCTCTAGAGGAAAATGCGTTCTTATTTGAAAACCATGGTGCTCAGTTGCTTGGCCAAATTAAGCGTGGGTGCTGCCGAGCTCGGGCGATTTTGTTCAAAGTTCTGGCTGATACTGTAGGACTTGAAAGTCGGCTGGTGGTGGTGAGCTCAGCTTCTGATGGTTTAGTTATTTTGTCCTCTTTACGTGCATTTTCGAACATGTTGCAAAAGATTATCTAGATGGTTGGTTATGCTATTTGTCTCTTACAAATCAACTTGCTTTCCCTTTTGATTCACATGAGCAGGGTCTGCCTAATGATGGGACTGTGGATTGCATGGACTCTAACAAACACATGTCTGTTATAGTTGTGCTGAATTCCGTTGAACTACTAGTTGATCTAATTCGGTTTCCTGGTCAGTTGGTACCTCGATCAGCCAAGGCAATTTTCATGTCACACATCTCACATACTGGAGAGAGTGATTCTGCAGAAAACGACTCTTGTGATTCACCTTTGGAGCCAAATAGTCCTTTATATGAGAGAAGAGATCCCGAGAGGTCAGCTTCCGTTGTGTGACTTTGTTTCTAAAGCATATTACTGTCAGGTCATTCTAAAACATCTCTTGTGATATGCTTTCCCTGGAGTCATCAAACGTTTCCTATGTTACAGTACAGAAAAAGATGAAAATCTTCAATTTCATCGGAAGTTAGAAAGATATCCAAATGCATCCGGTCCATCATTGCATAATTTAATGCTCAGACCTGCTACAGCTTTTGAAAGGAAATTGAGGTAATTGTTACATATATTTCCGACAAGTTGTATAATGGTATCAGTACAATGATAGAGATGTGCTTTTCTTCCTTCAGCAACACCTCGCATAGTGAACCAAATATTGCCACTGTATTCTGGAGACGTAGCCGCAGAAAAGTGATTGCTGAACAGAGAACAGCTAGCTCGAGGTATTTTTGTGTTCTTTCTTACATAGATACGACCTCTTGTTGTCTCTAGATATAGTAATGACTTAGAGTTTCTCTTATTTTCTGTATACTCAACTCATGAAAGCTGACAATCTGTTACATTTGCAGCCCAGAACACCCATCTATGCGATCACGTGCGCGATCAATGTTGAGTACTGGCAGGAATTCATGTAGGGATTACGCTGGTGACGCATCTCCTTCAAGGTAGCCCATTTTTACATTAGGACATGCCAAAATCTCCACTATGCCATTCCGTTCCTATACATCTAGTCAGCATATTTGTCCAAAAAAACATTCCAGTATTAGTTAAGTTGCTTATACAAGTCTGCATGAATAGATCTCAAGGATCAATCTTTGCTGGATTTTCTTATTTGTTCTTATATGTTAAAATGACGACAGCTCAAGGATCAGTTTTGTTGTCTCTGTTATTCACTCCAACGCAGTGATACTAAACATGACTAATCTCGCATTGTTTGGCAGAATTATGATCTAATTATTACTAGATGTAATGTAATGTGTATTTTTGATTGTTGCATGCAATTCTAATATTATCTAGTTTTCCAACAGTTCATCCACATCAGATATTCGTAAAACTAGACGGCGAAGTTTTAGGATCACACCAGAGATTGGGGATGACATTGCAAGGTTGGTATTCTCGTCCGTGTCTTTGTTTTGTCTTTCATCGTTTAGCAGAATTTGTGTCATTATCAGCTTGCATATTGAAGGTTCTATATTTGAGTCTCTTAGGTATATCTAAGTTGGTAAGGTAATTTGCAAATCTACAATTTTACAGCTGGCATATCGGCATGAGTAATCTAGAATGCAAAACTGTTATCTCCAAAATTTTAGATGCTTAGGTGTCTGTAAGATGGTAATGTGATTGACATGGTACTACATCTTCACTGTCATAGTCATTAGAGCTTTAAGCCATTTAGTGGCTCCTTACAACTTTGTGATAATGGCATTGAGAATTGTGAGAAGAACTCATGAAGTGTTAGCTGTGATTTTGGCTTTGCTTGTGTATTAACTCTGATGTTACACATTATTGAAGCGCTGTACGAGAAATGTATGAAAAATCAAAGCAAACTCGTCTCTTGCATGGCCGAGAGGATGGAAACAGCTCAGCTATCGATAGCAGTGTAAGTTGGGGCTCTGTTAATAAGAGTGACTGTTGTGTTGTATTAGTTCTCTTCCCATTGTTTAACCAGTCTAAACGTTTGAGTTTCTCCAGAAGGTCATTGAACTAAGACGTTGTATCTATTAGCTTGTACCTCTAAATTTCTTGTGCTTTCGGTTGTGCTCTCCCAGGTGTCTGGTCTCCATCTTGATGATGAGTTGAATTCTAAGAAGACAATGTCATTGCCATCATCTCCTCATGCATACAGGAGTCAAGGATTTGGACGAAGAGGGCCTTCAGACTTTGCCGTGAAGGATACATGGAATAAAGTGGTTGAGTCGTCCACATTGCAAAATCAGCCATTATTACCCTATCAAGAATGGGACATTGACTTCTCAGAGCTGACTGTTGGAACTCGGGTGGGAATTGGTAAGCTGCTCTAAATTTACTACTACCTTTGATATAGACAATGCAGTTTTAATTAGTTAAGGCGTTAAGCATTGTAGTGTAAAGATTATAGTCTTATGTTTTGCATCCAGGATTTTTTGGTGAAGTTTTTCGTGGAGTGTGGAATGGGACAGATGTTGCAATCAAATTGTTTCTGGAGCAAGATCTTACTGCCGAAAATATGGAAGATTTCTGCAATGAGATATCAATTCTCAGGTATCTTGTTACCAAATTCTTGGCATTCTTGGATCAATCCCTGTGTACATCTACTAATGGTTTTGCATGTTTTCTTGGGAATCTGCGGTTCTCTCTTCAGCCGTGTTCGCCACCCAAATGGTGACCTTTTTTCTTTCTCACAACCTCTCGCTTTTTCCTTTGTCTTTGGAGACATGTCTGAGATTATTTTCGTCATCTACCTTTATCAGACAAGTCGTGATCTCTGTTTTTGCAGTTGTACTATTTCTGGGTGCATGCACAAAACCTCCACGCTTATCCATGATCACAGAATACATGGAGCTGGGATCTTTGTATTATTTGATCCATATGAGTGGTCAGAAGAAGAAACTTAGCTGGCACAGAAGGCTCAGGATGCTTAGAGACATCTGCAGGTACATAGCTTGCCTTCTAACATTACGAATTTAGTTGGCTCCTTGTCTGCCTTTGATACTCATGGAAGTGTGGATCAAGTTGGTAGAGTCTGAGGATTAGTAGAATGGCATGCAGAAACGGGTGCACCATTGACTACTTGTGGCCAGTTATTTCATCTTTCTTTTAATCATCACTCCTTATTGAGTTTAGAGTGAGCAAACTTTGAATGCGTTCGTTAGCTACAGATAGGCTCAGTTACACTCTTCTACATCTAAGTTCTACAATTTGTTATTTATTCTATGCTCTTTTTACATATTTCTCTAAGTAATTTGTTTCAAGCTACAGATGCATATTTCATGCTGTTTTATATCTTTTATGGGATGCTTTTAGGGGTTTGATGTGCATACACCGGATGAAGGTAGTTCACCGTGACCTAAAAAGTGCCAACTGTCTCGTGGACAAACATTGGACAGTCAAGATCTGTGATTTTGGGCTCTCGAGAATAATGACTGATGAAAACATGAAGGACACATCATCTGCTGGTACACCAGAGTGGATGGCCCCAGAACTCATTCGCAACGAACCTTTTACAGAGAAATGTGATATCTTTAGTCTTGGGGTCATAATGTGGGAGCTTTCTACTTTACGTAAACCATGGGAAGGTGTTCCACCTGAGAAGGTACATTATGCTGTGCCATGATTCTTCTAGTGATGTTCATTCTCTTCATATTTTTTCAGGGTTTAAATAATTTCTTGTGAATTGGATTAATTGATATATTTTGCTTCTTAGGTTATCTTTGCTGTTGCGCATGAAAGGTCACGTCTTGAGATTCCTGATGGTCCACTCAGCAAACTAATTGCAGGTTCAGTGTTATTAAACACCATAGTTTCTTGAACATTTAATTGATGTTACAGTCTCAAATTACTCAAACTGCTACAGTCTTGAGTAAATGCTACCATTTTCTCTTTGCAGATTGTTGGGCAGAGCCTCAAGAACGCCCAAATTGTGAAGAGATACTTAGAGGCTTGCTCGATTGTGAGTACACACTGTGTTAGCACCACTTCTCTGTGGGGATATGAGTCGACGATGTTTTAGCTCAAAAAGCAGCCCGGCTTCTTTAGATCTCTGCCCGTAAATTAACCTGAGTGGCATACCCTTAAAGGTCATGAAGAGCTTCAAGGCTCGGATGAGAGAAATTCTTAGTTCAGTTTTGATAGCTGTGGAACAGGCATGAATGAGGCACAAAATGTCAAAATTTAGACATAAGCATGTCTGTTAAGCTGCCTCTGGTGTGATTCATTGTCTCACAGGCAGTGTTTTTTTTTTTTTTTGGTTGGTTATTGAAAGCATTTTGGACTACTTTAAGAAAAAGAATATATTACTGTAATGTTATTCTTATTTGGGTTTGGTAATAAAGAGCTCCTTGATCTGTAATTTCTTCATCCATTTTCTTCATTTATTGTGTGCCAAGCATTCAATTATCCGACTTTGTCTTCCATCTTATAGGTTTTTATTGGATTATAACCATAGATTACCAATTGAAAGGAGCTATTTGAAATTCCTCAGGCTAAACACTTCAGCTTCTTAAAAAAACGATGAGAGGCTGTCATGTCATCTTCACGAATACAAATTTAAATTCAGAAGTCGTATATTTTCAACCCCACAACCAATATTGCAGACCCAATAATATGGATAGCCCAGCTAAAATACCACAACTTTTGAAAACTATAAGGAGACGTTTTTTATTTTAAAAACTTAATTTTGTAAGATATTACATATTATACCATTAAAAATTCTTCAATTAAGAACTATTCTACAAAAAAATGTGAAGAAAAACACATTTAAACTGATAAATGTATAATTAGAACGAGAATAAAGAAGAAGAAAAAAAAAACGAACTTGATATATATTATATTTTGGATTTTTAAAACGAAGTCTCGGAAATCGTGAAATGTGAGAATAATTCCACTATTAAGTCTCTGAAATAGTGAAATTACAGTGTTACTATATAAATACACTAACAAAATGTTCTTTCAAATTCTTGAATTAGGCAGGCTCACTTCCCGCGACTTCGCTGCTGAACTGACTTCAAACGACGACGATGGTTGAAATCTCTGAAACCTCCGACGACTCCAATGGAGGCGACGATCAAGATCCAAACAAGAATAAACCGCAAGAAGAACTCCAGAAGAATCCGAGAAAATCAGTCGAGAAAATCACTTCTTTCCACATTCCAGACGATATCACCGAAGAATGCCTCGCGTATGTAGGGAGATTTCACTACCCGGATCTCTCTCTCGTCTCCAAAACCTTTAGCCGTATCATCAAATCTCCGATTCTCTACGACTTGCGCTCGCGCCTGGGAAGTACAGAACCCGTTCTTTACGCTTGCGTGGGTATCACTCGTTTTACAAACCCTAACTGGTATATCCTCTATCGCAAACCCTACAGAAACTTGCGTAACACGGTTTCTTTGCAATTGCGTGAAATCCGTTCCCCTCCCATGCCTTGGGGATCTGCTGTCGTCACAATAGGGCACGAGATGTATGTGATTGGTGGCTGCGTAGGCGAGAAACGAACAAAGAATGTGATTCTCATTGACTGCAGATTCCACAAGTGTCGCTTCCTCCCGAGTATGCAAGTGGCTCGATGCCGTGCAGCCGCCGGAGTGTTCGACGGGAAGATAATCGTAATCGGAGGTTGTGAGATTGGAGCTACGGAGTGGCTCGAAACGTTCGATGTAAAGGACAAGGTTTGGAAGAGTTACAAGTGGTCACCAGACTCACCACAACAACCTAATGTGAGTAGCGAGGAGTTTGTGACATACGCGATGATGGAGGAGAGATTGTACGTTTTGTCTAAAACAACAGGTTATGCTTACGATAACAGAGGAGAAGGAGGTTCATGGCCGAAGTTGGAAGTAGGAGATGTAATGATGAGTTTTTGGTGGCAAGAGTCGTCTTGTGTGATTGATGGCTTGTTGTTTTCCACTAATCCTCAACGGGTGTTTTCTGATTCTGCAATCATCATATATGATCCAAAGGAGAAGTCTTGGGAACCCTTGACTGGTTTACAAGGTTTTCCTTCTAATATCCTTCTCCACGAGTCTAAAATGGCGAATTTTGGTGGGAAGTTGGTGATTCTTGGAACAGATGAGAGTCGATATTCAAAGTATGATGGGAAAAAAGAGATTTGGTGCGTAGAGATCGCTTTGGAAACACGGCAAGGAGGTGAGATTTCTGGGAAGATCGAATCAGTAGCGGTTGTGCTTACAGTTCCTCCGGCTTCTATCGAGCTTTGTCGAACTGTTACCGTTTGATGATATTACATTGGAATGGTTTCTTACAGGTATATTATATGCCTTTTGGTGATGAATTCAGATATTGTCTCTCTAAGACTTACTTATATTTTCATTAACTTGCAGGTTAAGGATCATTATATGAAGCAAAGTGGCTATAAGAAGCTGTTGTTTCCGACACCTTAAAGACTAATTAAGCTTTGTAGTAGAGTAGGCTATTCTTTTAGCTACCTTTATAAAAAAAACTTAGCTTTGTAGTAGAGTAGGCTAATCTTTTAGCCAAATTAGTAATAGTAATGAACTATACGATAAAATCTTAAGAAACTTGTTGAAATGCATCTTTTGTTAGCTATGTTTTTGGATTTTTTCCGTGCAGTTGCGCTGACATGGTTTGATCAAGTTCTTACTGTTTGGCCTTTAGATATATAATTCCTCTGCAAGTAATCACAGTTAGATATAAGGAAGCCCAATGTTATGGGTAGCATACTCATATGAAATCTTGGTTTATAGAAAAAGCAGAACAACCCGGTTTAGTTAAACGGTGGACTTTTTACCTTATGGCTAACAATTGACAAAATACAAAGACTAGTGCTAAAGAAAACATAAATTGAAGACAAAAGGAGACCATACAGCTTCATCCATTTGGAGCAAAAAAATTAGTAATATTCGGATTAAGTAAATAAAAGGACCATACAGCTCAATCCCAAGTTATTCATTAATTTGAATAGATAGGGTTAATTTGTTGTGGTATTATCTTTCTAGACACAAGAAGTGGAAACATGAGTCATGCAAAATGAAGCAATTTCTTGGATTCAACTTTATTGTTCATACGTACAAAAATGAAATCTGGTGATCCATTTTCAGTTTTTACTTTTTACATACATGTATGTTTCGTGATTCCACCATTAACATTCACATGATTGTTCTCTATATAAATCACCCATCACTCTTATACTCTTTCTTGTTCCTATGCAAAAGCAGAGTAAGAAAAACAAAAAAAAATGGAAGCGAGGGTTATTTCTTGCACTACTTTTGGAGACGACAAAGTCGTGAAGATTGCTGTTCCGAATCATCAAGCAATTACCAAATACAAAGCTGGAGAAAACGAAACAACAATTGTTGTTTCTGATGATACTTGCTTGGAGAAAGATGTCCAAGAGATTAAGAAGTTTTGTGAGAAGCTCGGTTATGTTTATGAAGGAAGACTCAACGAAGAATACAATCAAACCAACACTGGACCCGGTTTGGTCTGAGATTTCAGAATCACAATCAACTTTCTATGTTTTACTTCACTTTTGCTTAACTACTTTTCATTAGTCTGATTTCTTTACTACTTTCTTGGTAATTTGCTGCTATGAATGAATTTATAATGAGTTCTTTTCAGATTAAATACTTTTGTGTATGAATACCTTTTCTTACAACGCTGACTTTGACCTAATCACTGGCCTTTTGTCTGGAGATGGTGAAAACAGAACAATCTAACTTGTTATATAGAGAGACTGAAGTAGGCGCCTTTAGACATCGGTCTTTTGAGTAGAAATGGAGATGGCTTCTTCTATAGCTTGAAAGAATGTAGCAATTTTGTAAGTAAAGAACCCAACCAACATTGGTATCAACTCCAAATGCATGAATCCATACTCCGGAACAAGTATTCTGCAATTTACAAAGTCACAAGATTGATGAAAACCAAGCTAGTTTTCTAGTGAAAGATAGAGAGAGGCACTTACGCGTTCCATCTATTGAATATCATAACCAACACAACCGGGACAAGTAACCGTGGCTGTCCAGCTGCACCTCTATCAAATCAATTCAGTGAAACCAAAGGAGAAACGAAGAGATACGTTAGTTAGTCATCTCGATATAGATAGGTGTTATAAATTTGAACAGAAACACGTAACACGTACTTCATAACTCCTCTGGCTCCATCTGCCATGGCATCTACAGTGTTACCAAGCATTCTCATGTATACTAAAGAACCCATCAAGCCAGCACCAAAACTGTAACGAACACAGATAAAATAAAACGCAGTCAGATGATTGATTTACAGTTCTTTGAGAGGTTTTTGATGTTCTTTGCAGGAGAAATAAAAACCTAAGTGTTATCTCTGGGGTGTATGTAAGATAAGCTGAGACTAAACCGGCACCACCAATACCAACTGTGAGAACCTGTAGCTTGTTTTTCAGCTGCAGAATACAATCCAAAAGTCAAGCGAGTAGGAACAGAAAGCATCGGAGTAGCCCTTGAGTGTAAACAGTAAATGCATATACAAGATGCCTTTCATGAGATCCCAAACCGCAAAACGATCAACCATATATAATACTTGTTATGGTATATCAATCCGTGAAAGTAGTAGCTAACCTTGTAATATTGCTCCCTTGATTCAGCAGCCAAAACTTGTGGGTCACCACGTGGCCGCCTCAGTTCCCTAAACATCACTTCCTGCAGCACAAATTACACAATAAATTCAAGAAATCAAGAACCAAGTCTATGTGTTTTTTGATTGATCAATGCGGAACTAGACGATTAACGAACAAGTGATCATCTGCAAGATAAACTTACTCTGCCACCAGTTGCAGCCTTAGTTGCTCTATCCCATTTATCTTGCTCACGACGTGTTGGTGCCAGCTTCCATTTAGGAGACACTCTCTGCTGCTATTGAAAAAGAGCATACTTGAGACATAACAATTAGCAGCAATATGGCTTGTCATATCGTGAAAAGTGATGAGAATTAATCGCACCTTCTGGTTTTTGGCTTCGGATTTGGAGGATTCAAGATCTTTTAAGACGGGTTTGGAAGACGGTGCAAGCTCTTTGCTTAAATCAACATCCATACTGGTTTCATAGATAACAGAACAAAGGAACCATTTCATGAAATGAAAGGAACAGTTTTTATCAGCTTCATGGAGATAGAAACAAGTAAGAAGTAGACCTGTCAAGGCTCATAACTCTGCTAAAGCTCAGAAACCCAGATGACTCTTCCTGTTATCACACAAAAAACGTTGACTTTGGGACCAATTTCTCTAATTTGCAGAAATAACTGAGAAATCGAGAAGATATTGACCTTAGAGGGAGATGGGTCGAGAGAAGAATCATCAGGGGAATCGAACAATTTCTTCATTTGATCCATAAAATCTCTGTTCCAGATTAAGTCTTTGGAGGTAATGGGGTCTTCCTTTTCACCTCCCCAGTACTTTCGGAGCTTCGTGGTGGTCGGAGGACCACCGTACTCTCCGGGAGCAACGCCGGTGGACCATTTCTCCGGTTTCTTGTTGGGTAGAATGATTTTGGTTGGTCGAGGATTGGGTAACTGATCCTGAGGAATCGGCGGTGTAGTAGATGTTGCTGAGATGTAGCTACGGATCCCCATGGATGAGTTTCTTGTGGAGGTTATGACGCTTCAGCTTTGATGATGACGAAGAGTGTAGTAATTACGAGTTTTTCAAAGCTATGCGTTTTCACCAAAAATATAAACAACTAGGTGTTTAAAATGTTTCATTAAAAATACTTACTCAAAATCGTTAATTTATTTAAAAAATTTACTCAAAATCGCATTGCGCCGACAGAAACATTATATTTTCTTTCAATTTCCTTTTATCTTGTTCTTTCAATTTTTTTCTTCCTATTATTCTTTATATAGTCTATATTTTCCAATTTCTTATTTTTCTACATAAAATATTAAATAAACAAACTTTTTCTTTGTGTTTTTCTTTTTTTTTAGTTTTATTCCTTCTTCGTATTTTCTTCTACTATTTATTTTTGGAATTTAGGAAGTTTTCAGATGTATATTTTCACATTTTTTATAGGCTTGATTATCTTTGTATAAACGATCAATTTCAAAAAATCTTGCGAAGTGAAGCACAAAGATAACATAGACACATATTATCTGAGTATTCTAATATAAACTCTCCTCTTAAAACGAAGATGAAATATAGTTTGGAAGCTGAAACCAAGTCACTCTTAAAGTTGTTATTCTTTATTGCCTAAAAAGTAATTCCAAAATTATATATAAATCAAACAACAAAATATGTTTTAATTTTTAATCATAAAAATTAGAACTGTATTCACTTCTTATATTTTGTAGAAAGAATAATCTTCACATAATGAATTATTTATTATTTGAGACATATATTCTTCCAATTATTTTTTAAAAAAATATTAGATTCTTAAACAATTATAAATGAGATGACTCTCTCATAAGAGTTACTCACTTTCCCTTTGATCATTATGTAAGGTACCTACTAGTACTATCTTGACTATTTCCTGGTTTTTAAAACTTTACCAATGTACTATATTATTGAGATTTACATAATGAGATTATTTTTTTCTATAAGGCGTTGAAAGAAGTAAAAAACTTTTAATTAGCGGAGTGATGCTATAGGTTTTTTTTAGGGGAAATCTATTCTTTATTTATCTTAACCAATAGCATTTCAATACTATAAACTTACAATTTTTCACATGTCCCTCCGAATTATAACCCGAATACTTGGTATGATCCTTAATTTGGAAAATACCACTTGCAATAAACCATACGGTTTTTTGCACCAATAATATAAATCTGAAGCTGAAAGATCTCTCACTTACCACTTGGATCTTTCTTAGACCCTTGTCAACCTTTGTCATTTGAAAGAAGATGTAGAGTCTGTTGTTGATTTGTGTTTTCATTGTGTTCCACATCAGCAAGACCATTCTCCAAAGCTTTCACGTGTTTTTCGAAGTAGGTTTGGTTACTTTAGTCGAACGAAATCATTGAAACTTTTGGATGGTTCATTAGTTCCGGAGAAAAACTGTTCCAACTACATCTCTGCACAATGATGAAGCCTCTCCAAACCAGCTCGAGCTTCCCCTTTCAAATACTCGAAAAAATTGTGTCTTTGCATGTTCATTATGAGCAAGGTAGTATCCATATGCAAATGTCCAATTCAAGACCCTCCTACATTCCATTATCCAATCGTAAAATCAACCACATAAATACTTTGGTCCGTTTAAGAAAAATGTTGTAACAAAAGTCTCACTGAAAGTGTCATTACTAATATTCCTAAATTAGCATGATTGCAAGATTTTACCAATAACAGTCTTTAGTTAAATCACACTTTCTGTTCAACAATTCCACAAGATTTAACATGAAAAATATAATTTTAAAACCCTGATTGGTCTAGTTTGTTTAAATTTAATCAATAATTTCCCATTTATATTCTATTATGCATCATCCTGGTTCACCTTGAATAACCATGTATTTCGCACGGCCAAGAAAGTCTGGTTGGGGCAAGAGTCCCGGGCTCATCGAAATTTTTATTCCAACGATTTCTTCAGTCTTTACTATAATTAGAGTGAAGAAGCAGGGCGATCAATTCGACTTGGCTTAGAGAACAATAGAAACTCGTTCAATATGGTCTCTTTTATGCTTGTGAATATTTTTTTTTGTTTTGCTACTATTTATGCTTGTGAATATATTCTTCACTATAACTGGACATCACAATAAACAACGCTAAATCAGTATGATTATCATCACTTTGATTCCTCAAAATTTAACTGAGATGAATACACCTTAAACATGAAATCCAAACAGAATCTCAAGTCCTAAGCAAAATTATTTTTGGATAAACCAGACACATTGCAAAAACAGAAACAAAGTTGAGATGGAGGAGTATAAACAGTATGGGATCCGAACGGTCATAGACTTATAGAGCAATATCGATGGAAATTAATCGCAAAGCTTAAATACTCAATCGTCCTCATTTATCATGAACACAGACCCAAAGCTTTTAAACAAAAAACCCTAATTCAAAAATTTTAATAAAGCAATACAACTCAAACGTCAAAACACAGAAACCACCGGTTGAAGAAGAAGCTCTGACTAATCGGAGATTAGGGCTAAAGTGAGAGTCTTGGGGCTTTCATATACAAAACCATACAATTTTATAGCATTAAAAGATCCAATATTAACTTCATGGTAACAAAATTTGGTATAGTTAATTATAAATAAAATTTAATTTTAACCAATTAAAGGATATTAATGACCTTTTAGTAAGGGACAAAAAAATAATTAACCACGCTGAGATTGAATGAGAGGTCTTTGAAGCTAAAATTCACTTCGCTTTTAATATATACTATGATGATTAGTCACCTAAATTGAATAAAAGAACTTATAGCGAAAAATTTACTTCGCATATAGTATATATGATATGATTTTAATGTTTTTTTATATTAAATTCCAATTTTAATAAACTTTTAAAATTTAAATGCTTTTTGATTAAATTCCGATTTATATAATTTTTTTATTGATTTAAGATTTTTAATATTTTTTAAAATTTAAATATTTTTTTATTAAATTCCGATTTTAATAATTTTTTTATTAATTTACGATTTTTAATAATAAATTTTATTAAGTTTCGATTTTTAATAAAATTTTTTATTAAATTTTATTTTAGAAAAATAGAAGGAGGGATAAAGGGTAATTAACCACTCTAAAATTGAATGAGAGAGCTTTAACTCAAAATTTTATTTTGCTTATAATATATATGATATGAGAAGTTGGAATTATAAATAAATAAATAAATATATCACATGTAAAAATATCAGGAATTGAAAAATTTTGATAATAAATTTGGAATTTCGGAAACAAAATAAATAAGCAAATAATAAAGAAAATGTGCGATATATACTTAGGACTATTCAATATTTGCTAACAAGGAAAGTCTACTAACACTGTACTATTTCTTTTAATACATTACTACCTCTAGAAGAGATTGTGTGTCAGAATTATTAATTTTTTAAGCAAACGAGGAGATACTATTCTATTTTTTTATTTTTTTAATATAGCTTAATATGCCTCAATCTTGTTAATATTGCCGATATTGTACTACAGCACCGAATATATCTTGTTTCATCTAAACGTTTAGGTTAAACAATATCTTAGACGGGTTATTCAAATTACAAAAATCTAAAGAACGATTTCTACTTTCCATTGCGATTCTGCAACCTCTCACTAACTATCTCCCATATCTGGTAAATTCTCTCTTTAATTTCCTTATTTTATCGATTTCGAAATTCACATCTGCACAGGGTTCCATTTTTTTGATTCTGTCTTCTTCCTTTTCAGTGAATCTCGACCTCATGTCAATTATTAGGCTTCCCGAAAGATTTTTTGCCGCAGGCCAACAACCCATTGGAGAGAGAGTTAACACTTACCAGAAATCAAAAGTTGTTCTGACGATTCTTAATGCGCTTGATGCTGACGAAGTTCAGAGATTACGGGATTCCCAATTGGGAAAACTGCTTGCGACAATAGAGCAACTGTCGTTCTCCGGTAGCTTTGGATTCTATATGTTAGCTAGGCTATTGCGAGTGAAGAAGAAGCACGAGTTGTGGTTCTTGTTCGCTGGTCGACCGATCAGATTTTCACTACGGGAGTTCGCCTTAGTTACTGGTCTCGAATGTGGGGAGGTCACTCATAAAAAGAAGAAAAAAAATGTTAAGTTGAAGACGGAGATTATGGATCTGAGATTGAGAGAGATTCTTGAAGACAGAGATCTCGATGAGTTAAGTTGGAAAAATGTTAATTTGAAAGTTAATAATCAACAAATGTTTATACCATCTAACAAATGTTTTAACATATCAAAATAATATATAGATGGATAATATATAGCTGGTTATCTTTGAATCCAAAAGCTGCACTCACTCTAAATTATTTTTGAATTTGGAATTAGGTTTCTTAATTGTGTGTTAGATTGCTAATATATTTTACAGATGATTACAATTCATTTACTATACCATATAAATGTTTTGATATATTTCTAATATTCCACTTAACATGTTAACTATATTATTACACATATAAATTTAAATTAATACTCGATAAGCCAATTATAGCAACTGAAATTAAGCACACTAACATATTATATAGCTTTATAATATGTGAAGTAATTGTATAATTTCTATGTTAACGTATATCAGATAAAAGCAGCGCGCTAAAGAATTATTTACACTGCTAATGTTTCATGTATCTCTATAACGTATATGTTAACGGGGTCTGATATAATCAGTTATCAAACCAAATATACAAGTGTCAAAGAATGCAACAATCCTTTTTTTTTAAGAATGCAGAAACTTATCATGCTAACAAAGTATGTAGTTTGATAAAAAAATATGTAATTGTATAACTTATATGTTAAGTAGATGCATACACATGAATATAATTATTTAGACTGATAACATTTAACATAACTGTATAATGTATATGTTAATGAGTTAATATAATCAATAATCGAATCAAATATAGCAACTCAGAGGTGTTAAAGAATACAAAAATCATTTTTGTTTCAAGAATACATAAATTTACCATGCTAACAAAGTATGTAGTTTGATAAGAAGTTATGTAATTGTATAACTTATATGTTAAATAAAGAAGATTGATGAGAGAGAAATTCCAGAGCTGTTATATTTTGTAGTTCTCAAATGCCTACAAGCAGACCTACACTATCTATAGGAACCTATAGAGGTCGATATTATCTTTTCTTCCGTCATTTAAATTAAATCAAAAATACAATTAGCAAAATAGAAAAAGTTAGCTTGAGGGTTTTTTTCGTAATCTGCCACAATTTGGAATTCAAAATTTTCACCTGAAACACTGTTTTTCCTTATTGGCAAATTTTGACCGGGTCTTAGTCTATATAGCAAATTGTCTCCAAATAATAAGGCTCAGAGAGTTCTATCAAAGTGTGTATAAACTTGAACCTAAATTGTTGGTGTAGCTTCGATGAGGAAAAAGGTGCCAGGACAGCTTTTGCTACCCGATATGGTTGAGAAAAATATTTAATACACATTGCCCAATGATTCATCAAGAGTAAGAGCTGTAGAATTGAAGACAGAATTAGCTCGTTTAGATATTGATGAACTGATGGGGGTACACGGTTTTCTATTTGGATGATACTATCACAGCTCGGTTTATTAGAATGTCTGGTTATAGAACTCGGTCTGGTTGATGTTGGTGTCAAAAAGTGGATTGCAAATGACTTTGATGGCAGAGTTGGCAAGCTAGAATTCAAGCTCTAACTGGTTGTCAAAGCTTACTAGCTTGTTCTCGAGTCTTTACATGTGCGAATTGTGATAAATACTTGTTTACCTTATTATATTTCTGACAAGATTCTCGTGGATGTTCCTTATTTAGAACCTGAGATAATTTGACAAATTTTTATGCGAAAATATGTTAAGATTTCACATCAGAATTTTAGAAATGATATAATTAAGTAGTATATAAAAGATATGAATCAATTTACTCAATACTAACTCTTGTTGAGTTAAAAACCTATAAAAATTAACATTGTATCAGAGTCGAGGTTATTTATCATGAGTCAAAAGTGTTTGGAATAGGGTTTATTACTGTTCCTAGAGTAAGACGGTAGGAATCAGTTTGACATGGAGTGTAGATACATTATCTCAAGTGAGTGTGTTAAGATTCCACATTCATAACTTAGTATCACTAGACACTAGATATTACTTAGATCTATTATTATAAATCTTTAATGTTGGATTCTAACAAAATGCTTTCTCTGAAGACCTTATATTCAGTGCTGACCCAAGCCCATGAAAGGTCCTAGTCTATTTCTAAAAAATGTGCCTTATTTCTTAAGAGTAAAAAAAAAAATCTAATAAAAAATTAAGCCAAAAAAATTTTGGGCCCTAGTCCATTGTCTACTTGACCTATGCCATGGGACAAACCTACTTATATTATATTTATGCGGAAATTCTTTAATATGGGAGACTCTAAGTTATAGACTTATAGACTATGCAACATTGTAACTTCAACAAAAAAATTTTCCTGAACACATATTAGGTTATTAGAGTCGGATTATATTGGTTAAGTCAATACCTCTAGTTAATATGTAAACCGAGATTGAGAACACTCATAGTATATAAGCTGAGTGTCATTGTAAACAGATTCAACAGATGAATAATAGAATTTTTCTCTCACTTTCTTCATATTCTTCGTGAGATTCATGAACACTAACAGTCCAAAACAAGCCTCCCCTTGGTTGGGCAAGTATCATCAATTTTGGTTACACTGATGACAAGCTTATGAGCTTCTATAGCGTCCTTCATGTAAACTTAGTTTTGAGCTTTAGTACGGTACGTAGTGCATATATAAGACGTAAATACGTTGATGTTATTTCTTTATTTTTTTCCTTTTTTTTATCTTATAATTGGCAGTCCTAATTTGATACGAGCTTGCGCGTGTGAAACGCTTTGCTTACAACACAATAAAAGGAAAGGATTGATAAAAACATTAATCTTAGACAGGAAATGATAACAATATTCTAATTTGTCTCGTTTTCAAATTTATCTTTTGGTATATATATATGGTTTTTGGTTCAGACCGATAACAAAACTTACAAGCAATTAAGTTATGAAATATAGATATTATTCAAACGGGAAACTTATCTATTTTATTAGACATTAATTAAATACTGTATCTCAATTATATTTAAATATATCATTTATTTACAGCGTTATTAGTAGGATAAGAAAAAAAAGGAAGAGTCAACAAAAACACGAGACAAATCAAAGAGGTATTAACCATTACACTAAAAAAAATGAAAATCAATATGAAAACTGAATATACAAAAAAAAATTAGAAAAAGGAAATTTGAAGTGGATAAGGTTCCTTCCCTTGTAATCTTGTATGATTGTAATTTGTATCTTTCACATATATGGAAAGCGGGAAGAAAGGACCTAAATAAAGCATCAGTCGGTTTATATCTAAATTGGTTAAAGAAATATGAAAATTTTCCAATCCCTAATAGTAAAAGGATAGCTCAAACGATATCTCGGGCTCTATATAAACATCTTAGTGCCTCTCAACATCTCACCAATTAATCAAACTCTTCATAAATCTCTTCCAAACACGTTTGCTTTGCTTCGCTTAACTCTCTCGTTGATCAGAAACAAAAACAACCAAAACATCGATCAATCATGGCTTTGATCAAGAACAAATCCTTCTTCACTTGTTTGATGATTCTTGTGGCACTCCTCGGAGTTGTCGTGGGAGGAACCGTTCACAAAGTCGGTGACTCGAAAGGATGGACCATGATGGGCGTGGACTACGAAGCTTGGGCCTCTTCAAGAACTTTCCAAGTCGGAGACTCTTTGGTCTTCGAATACAACAACGAGTACCACGACGTTACTCAAGTCACTCCCCTTGATTTCGAGCTCTGTGAACCGTCTTACCCGCTAGCCAAATACCAAACCGGTTCTGACATGGTCAAACTAACCAAACCGGGAGTCCATAACTTTATATGCGGAGTTCCTGGTCACTGCGACGCAGGTCAAAAGCTTCAAATCCACGTCTTACCAGCCTCGTTGGGTCCCGTTGCAGCTCCTGTTCCTAGACCGGTCCGATCACCAAGCTCAATCTCGTCTCCTTCAGCCTCATTGGGTCCCGTTGCAGCTCCGGTTCCTAGACCGGTCCAATCACCAAGTTCCTCTTCGTCTCCTTCGCCGGCCAACGCTCCACAGTATCAACATCAGATTGCTCCATCTCCTCTTCAAAGCGGTGCCACGAAGTTAGCTTCTTGGATCGGCTTCAGCTTGTTGGCTTTGTTCTTAGCTTTCTAATTCGTCTTTAGTTATTGAGATCTTGCTTCTTCTTTTTTCATCCTTTTGTTAGCGGGTGACAATGTTTATTGTTGAACAATGAACACCGGATGTTTTCTTGCGTTACTCTATAAATTAGGTTTTGCTTCTTTACAATTCTGTCTGGTTGGCTTATACGTTAATGCGATCAGTTTTTTATATTATTGCAAACAGACGTAAACAGAATGGATTAGTGATAGTATAAACGTATTGATCTATATATATATAAAGAAAAGAAGACTAAACAAGCATTCTCATATCACACAAAGAAGGAACATAACAGATATATAAAAAATTAGTGTAAAGCTTTACTAGTGACAGAATCTTTAAATTCAATCTTTTTGGTTTCATCATCTTTAGTACATGAAGCATATTTCTGTTTATTGAAGAATCTTTTTTTGTAGTTATGTAATAATTTTGTATTTTCGCTTTGAAATCAATGAATGATGAGTAGCCAAATTGTTTTTTTTTTAAGAACAATTTGATATATAATATACGATATATAATGCTAATGTATGATGTGAATTTATATTACCATAATTTGTAGCGAGGTAGAGACAATTACAAAAGCATTTAAAGAAAGTGATTTCATTGTCCGAAAAAAAAGTTAAAAAGCCAAGGAGGATGAAACTATGAGCAATAAGTAGTAGCTGAGCTAGTGATCATGAGCAAACCATTGCGATAAGAGTCTGCCACAACCTTTACGATATCGTCTTGCAACTTACAAGCAGTGTGTCCCGGAGAAGGCGGTCGATGCGTTGACAGGTCATGGTATGAGTTGTAGAATAAGAAAAGAAGTTTGTTGGTTATTGATATTGTTTTTAATATTTGCAAGATAAATGTTATTATGTGTAGTTTTATTAGAATATTTGAACTTAGTTGTATTCCACATTAACTAATTTCATATTCATAGAATTACATAAACTCCATTTATTTTCCACCGATTTCAGGGTTTCAATTAATGTTAGTATGTAGTTAATTGATGAACTCGACTTTGCAACACAAACGAATATATGAGGCAAATCAGAGAAAATAAATACACATTTAACCATCTTTTTGTTTTTGATCGAAATTAAATATTGTACTATAAAAAAACTATTTATTACCATCGATTTGAAGGATTCAATCCTAGCAAGTAACGAAAGTTTATTAAAAAAAATGAATTAAACTTTGCAGACGAAGCAAATCAGATAAGTAGAGCAATAAAGGAAAAATCTGATGAAAACTAAACATATAATTTACGAACTATTCAAAAGATATTATATATATATATATATAATATAAGCGAAGTAAAATTTTAGTTTTAAACTTTCTCATTCAATCTCAGGGTGGCTAATTACCTTTTACTTATTATTATTAAAAATTAGTTAATATTATAATATAATTGATGGTTCAAATTAAGTTTAAAAATGGTTTATATTAAAAAAATAAGTCGCCTAATGTCTACCAAAAATCCAACCGATTTTTGATAACCGATTATAGTTACTAATTGGTCGTGTAGGTTAATATTGTGTTAACACACGAAAAACTTAATTGGGGCTACAGCCCAATGACATGCGGCCGCCGTTATAATAATAATAAAAAAAAACTAAAACCCTAGATCGTATATCAAGCTAATTGCCTTTCTAGATCATTCATATTTTTTTTATTAAGTTTGACATTCTTGACATGATAATTCACGTCGTAGGTTTAACCTAGCATTATCTTTTAAATTGGTTATTTGCGAGATGATTAACTTTATGATGATTAACATACCAACTTTTTGTTTTTCTCATTGGATTAAGTTTCCTTTTCATCTAATTCTTATCTTTTACCTTCTAAATTCGATTTTTGTGGTGATGGCTCTGGTTCGCCGTAAATGGGTTTTGGTCATCATTCGTTTCCAGTTATACAATCCCATCAATCCTTTGTTATACTTTCAGTTCATTAGCTATGAGATGGATCTATAGAATAGCTATTCTACAAATTTGATTTTGATGTATTCTGTTTTAAATTGTTAACCATGTTCCTTGGTGGGTATGAGTATTTGAATTGATTTAAAAAAGCTGTAAAGCTTGCGACTTTCGATCAACAATTGCCTCGATATGTTCATTTTTTCTTGGAGATTTTGAGTCATTTTTCCTAATCTTTCAAGATTCTTTTGAGCTATATGAAGCAGATACACTGCTATTTAAGCCATATGTTTCTTAAATGTTACACAACTTGGGGCTTCAAATATATTCATTCATATCTCTTAATTAAGGTTTGTTTCCGTTGGTCAATATTAAGTATTTATGTGTCTCATGTTGTGAATCAACATAAGATTAGCCATACTTAATATGGTTTGTAGATTTTTGGCTTTATGTGTATTCGTTTATATATGTACTGATCGAATTTTGTTTTACTTTTTTGAAGGAGAAGGTTTTCAAGTTTTGACTTTCCATCTCCATTTGCTGTTGATGACGTTGATTCAGGGAATCCATGTGAGATTCTTTACTTTGGAGATAATGAATTATTGTGAAACCTCAAATTCTTCCCATGTTGATCTCTTTTTCGTATGGCGGAGATTTGACCTCTGTATAAATCTGTAACTGGTTCTTTAGACAAGTATTTCCTCATCACGAATCTGGTATTCACGTCTTCGAGTCTCTTTGCTATCTTTGTTTTTAGATTATCCTAAATCTGGTTGTCGAAGATCTAAATCTGATCAACTGATTTCATTCTTTTTTTTTTTTTTTTTGGTAAAATGTTAAGATGACTGATTTCATTCTTTGTTTCCTCTTTGACCGTTTCTTTTACCCAGTATAGGTTCTCTCTTCTATTGTTTTATTTATTTGTTTGGTTCCTTTGGTTACCTTTGATTGAAGCATCTTTGTATTTTGTATCCTTTTTTTAAGAATCCAGGTTTGACTTGATCGGTACCCCAATCCTATCACGTCCCTGTGCTTCTTTTGTCATAGATACAACCCCCAGATTTAGTTTTTCTGGCTTCCCATGAGGTTTGTTCGATTAATCCTCTTTATTTATCATGGGTTTACTTTTATCGTTTTCTGTTCATTCTGAGATATTGGAGTGGTGTATGCATTGTTTCTTTTCGTTCGAGGTTTCGGTTTCTTATGTGTAACACGTATCTGGTCTTAATTATGAGTTTTACTTTTGTTTTCTTTTTTTTTTTTTTGGTGTTTTTCCTGTGGTTTTTTAGCTTAGACTTTATATTCTATGTCATCTTCCTTTCTCATAACGCTCTTCATCTTTTGTGGCCTCTGTTTTTTTTTTTGCTTTCATGGATCTTTGGTTTTGTTTAATGGGCTGTTTGTAGATTTTAGATGTTACATTGTTGAATCGTTCTCATTATTTTGTGTAGGTGAATTTGCTGCTTCTTGTAGTCATCCGGTAGTTGCATATTCTCTGTTTTATTGAGGCACCCTTATTTGTTATGTTTACAAATTGAAAAATTTTCTTTATATAGTGTGTAATTTTAACTAGGTTTTGTATTTCTTCGTGAGTTTTATTCGATGTATAAATTATTTACAAAAATTTCTTGTCTGTAATCTTTTTGTTATCAGATTTTAATTTGGCGTTTTTCTTTTGTTTGGTTTTGGGAACCCTTAGAATGATACAAAACTATAAACATGTGTTTCTATAAAGTAAGAGGAGCTGTTTCACGGAGCGTCTTCTATCTTTTAGTTAGATGAATAAAGAAAAGGTTTCTGAATTTTCATAAGGACAAAATGGATGTGGAACTTACTTCTCATTATGCCCTAGCAAAAGATAAACGGCTAGACTACGCTGAGGAATTGTGAAACAAATTGTTCATGGAAAATTCAGAAGGAACTCCAAAAAAGTTCTTCAACAAAATGTTCTCAATATACTACAAGAGAGAGAGATGCATCACAAACTTATCGAGGTAAAGTAAAAAGGTTTTTTTTTTGCTTAGTATTTTCATCCAAGAGAGATTCTTTCAGACAAGCCGATGGAGGAGTTTGGAGTGAAACCGAACATTGCGATTGTGTCTATGGTTGACAAAGTGTTTTTACATTTCAAAGCATATTGATGTATGATCAAAGAAATTTCAAAGATATTGAATTTGACAATATTAAAGTGGTGCTAAACCTTGCTTGAAATGTTTGATAAAAAGTACTGAAGGTACAATAAATAGTTGTTAAAGTAATGAAGATGTTTTGTCGGCGAAAAATGTGTGAGTGTCTGAGTGATATAAAAAATGAGAAAGAGAGACTCTTTAAGCCTTCAAGGACATGTAAATGATCTCTATTCTATCACCGTTAGTTCATATCTTTCGTGTTTCTGATTACTGTTTGATATGGTTGACAAGAAAGTTCAAGCCTTCAGGTACATCTGAAAGAAATTGTTTACTTACGCCCCAATAAATTGGGTTTTGCATGTGGTTGCAAGAAAGACAAAAATTGATAAGAAAGAGAGACAAAAGCTATAAAAGAGATTGATTACCTATGCTATAATACCACATGTGAAAATGGAAATGGCCCTCAGAACATATCGATGTATGATTAAAGATATTTTAGAGATATTGAATTTGACAATAGAAAACCAGTTCTACACCCTGTTTCAAATGTTTTAGGAAAAGCACAAAATATACAAGGGAATAGTTGATTGATAAGAAGAATGAGAATGCAAGATGGCAAAAATGATTGAAAGAAAACTAAGAGAGCAAAAGAGAGGAGGAGAAATTGCAGAAGACAAGACTAAACCTATCTATTGTGGAATTAAGTTTTTTGAAAAAGAAGTATAAGAAGAACATGTTGGAGATTCTCGAGAAAGAATGAAGGGAGATATAAATTAGGTGTCTAGAGAGAGAGAGAGAAAGGGAGAGAGAAAGAGATTTAAGTCTTCAAAGATATGTAATTAATCGATATTCTATCACTATGACGTCGTCTCTTCCGTGTTTCTAATTTCTGTTTTGGTCAAGAATGTTAAAACCTTCAGGTATATGTAAGTTTATGTAAGAACTGACCTGAACGAAAGACAAAAGCTACCAAGGGCTTGTTTACATATGCTGTGATACCATGGTTTCGTATCACGCTTGTGAGTGACAAAAACTAAGAAAGAAACTGTTTACCTACACTCTAATACCATTGTTTCGCACCCGTGCTTGCAAAAACGATAACAATTGACAAGAAAGAGAGGCAAAAGGTACCAAAAAGATTGTTTATCTATGCTCTAATACCATAAGAGAAGATGTTAGTGGCCCTCAAAACATAATGATGTATGCTAAAACAAAATATGAGATATGGATTTAAGAATATTAAGCTGGTACAAACCCTGTTTGAAATGCTGGCAGAAAAGTGACGTTTTCTCCTACTTGTACTTTTTTATAAGATTATGATATGATGGTTTCTCTTACTTGTATAAGGGAGAAATAGAGAGAGACAAAGAGATAGAGGAATTTAGAGAAAGGGAGTGAGAGGGAGAAAGAGAGAGAGAAAGATAAAGAGAGATAAAGAGAGAGAGAGAAAGAGAGTTATTGATCGACATTCTATCACTGTAATTTCATCTTTTCGTGTTTTTAATTTCTGTTATACTGATTATAAGTGTATAGTTTTTTTCGCTTTGTTAGTTTTATGTTGTTGTTTCTAGGATAACGATAAAGAAATGACTTAAAATTTTGATTACATCCAAAAAAATGAAGTCATAAAACAAGACTATGAATGTTGTATATAAAAAAGAGTTTTATAATTTTTTTAAATCTGTTTTTTGTTTTCTTTTAATCAATATGGTTTTGGTACAATTATTGGTCTTCTTGGTCTTTCTTAGTTTCTGCAAATAAGTATTATTAGTTATTATTTTATTTTTATGTTTTTGTTGATCATATGTTTAACATTGTTGTTATATTTGTGTTTGTTTTAATAATATATATTCGGTAAATTTAATCATCTAACTAATATGATTATTTGATGAAATATTTCCATCCGCGCAAGGCGCGGGCTAAACACCTAATATATAAAAAAATAGAAATATATTGTTAAAAAAAAACAGCAAAAGGAAAAATAAGGAAATTCAGATTAGACACGGTCATTAGGAATATCAATAGACACTAGGAATTATCCAAATCTTCAAATCTCTAATGGAAAAAGGATTTAGCTCGACCGACACCTCAGGCTCTATTATATAAACATCGATGTGCCCTCTCAACTTCTCACAAATCAAACTCAAAACTTTCATCAACCTCTTCCAAAGTTTTTGTTTTCTTTCGCTGCTTAATCAATTCTCTCGTTCCAGAAGCAAATAAAAAAGAACCAAAACATCAATCATGGCTTTGATCAAGAGCAAATCCTTCTTCCTTTTATTGATGATTCTTGTGGCACTTTTGGGAGTTTCTGTTGGAGGAACCGTTCACAAAGTCGGTAACTCAAAAGGATGGACCATGATGGGCGTGGACTACGAAGCTTGGGCTTCTTCAAGAACTTTTCAAGTTGGAGACTCTTTGGTCTTCGAATACAACAACGAGTACCACGACGTCACTCAAGTCACTCCCAACGATTTCGAGCTCTGTGAACCATCTAACCCGTTAGCCACATACCAAACCGGTTCTGACATGGTCAAACTAACCAAACCGGGAGTTCAAAACTTCATATGCGGAGTTCCTGGTCACTGCGACGTTGGACAAAAGCTTCAAATCCACGTCTTACCAGCCTCGTTGGGTCCCGTTGCAGCTCCCGTTCCTAGACCGGTCCGATCACCAAGCTCTCTCTCGTCTCCACCGTTGGCTGATTCACCGGTTAATAATGCTCCACAGTATCAGATGGGACCATCACCAGCTCCACATAGCTCAGCTTCAACCTCTCGTGTTTGGATCGGATTCTGCTCCGTATTTCTTTTACTTTCTCTTATCTTCTTTGTTTGATAGAGTTACGTACGTTTTGTTTCCTTTTGATTCCACTTCTTACTTTATCCTACGTACGCCGTTTGAGACTTTGAGTTGTAGTTTTTTTTTTGTTCCTTTAATGCTTTTGTTTACTTCAAATCTTCAACATTATAAATGGAGTCAGTTTTATTTTTTTTCTTGTGCTCATTTAATTTATGTACTTTCTTGCACTTTAGCAGCCGAGAAATTAGTCAGCTGAATTGGAGTCTATAATATATATATGACTATATGAGACATCGTAAAAGTGATTATCATTTGTAAATTGTCAGATGTAAGGTCTTTATTAAAAAATGTGGGATCTTAACACCTATCTTATACCTTATATCCATATATTTATGATTCAAGACTACTATTATTCAATTTTCCTTATTTGTTTAATAACGATATTGCACTGATCATCAATATTACGATATTGAACAATGAACGAGATGGGTTCTGTGTTTTCGCATTAATATGACCTTCATTAGGTTGCGATGTAGCAATGTCATTTTTTGTTCTTCAAGTGAGTTTTAAATTTATGTTTTTTGATTGTGGTTCTTTTGTCTTCTTCTGCTAAACAAATTTAAAGTTGGAAGCTTCAGAACATGGGGTCGTAGAAATGATAATTGAAGAAGAAGAGGTGCTCATTATAATCTGTGCAAGATACCAACTTTTTTTTTTTTTCAAAAACATAGCTTCTGAGTTCTGATAACCTTTAGCTTAGCTGCTAAAAGTTGTGACTGTTTAATAGAAAAGTCAACATCATTACAAAATTTAGGATGTTTAAACAAAAGTTGCTATTGAGTATTCAAGGCTTTGTGACAGAGGTACCAAATGATCTCGATATTTCAGCCTTGCTTTACTTGGTTTTTTATTTTATTTTGAAAGAAGATATATTTCTATATAATCACTGAAATAATTTCTTTTCAGTTTTATTCAGACCAAAAAAAGAAATATGCATAGTCTTATAGATAAGGTATACGAAGAACGACATTTATCAATGTTTTCGGATTGGTGTGATCAAATAAACGATAATATAGGTTAAAGTAATTTTTATTTTAAATTGTAGTTACATGAAAACTATCATTTTTTCCCCAAAGTTGATCATTATTTTCATACGAGATTTTAAAAGCTAAGAATGTTCATTGAGGGAAGCGTGTTAAGATCCCACATTAACTTTACATGATATCACTAATAGATTACTTAGGTATCTTATAAACTTCCACAATCAATGTGAAATTCTAACAAGTGCTTTCTCTAAAGACGATATGTTATATTTATGCCGAACTAAGAGAATACGATGTAGAAAAGAAAAATATGGGAATTTTTGGTTATACAACTTTAACAAAAATCTTCCTAAAAGATTATTCGGAAACTTTTGCTCAGTCGGGAACAAGCCTAGCCTTGATTTGGCCAATAATGTTAGTTACACTGTTGATAAGCTTATGAGCTCTCTATCCTCCATCTAGAACGTTACGTCGTTACGTAGTGTCTACATAAGACGTACAAATACCATTGATGTTTTTTTTTTTGGGTATATACCATTGATGTTATTTCCTTTTTTTCTTCTATTTTTAATCTTATTGACACTCCTAATTTGATACGTGATTGAGCAGTGATTGTAATATGCAAGAGAAAAGTAAAAGGAATATAACACATTAAAATATAGACAAATCTTAGAAAGGAAAGGATTGATAACAATATTTTAACTTGTTTCGATTTCAAATTTATCTTTTCGATTTCAAATTTATCTTATCGGTACCGATATCAAAATTTACATAAAGTTATGAAATATAGATATTGTTAAATCGGGAGATTTATCTGTGTTATTTGATATTAATTTAGTACTATATCTGAAGATAAGTTCTTTTATTTACAGCGTTCTTATGGGGAAATTCTAGTAGGTTAAATAAATTAAAAAGGGAAAATCAACCAAAACACGAGGCAAATCAGTTAAGTATAATAACCATTAAACAAACAAAAGAAAACAAAAATGAAGATGAAAACGAAATATACAAAAAGAAAAAAAAATTAGAAAAAGGAAATCAAAAGTAGACAATGTCCCTTGTATGATTCTAATATGTAGCTCTCATATATGGAAAACGGGAAGATAGGACCTAAACAAAACATCAGTCGGCAAAAAGAAATAGGAAAATCTTCAAACCCTAATAATGGGAAAAGGATTAAGCTAAAACGATACTTGGGGCTCTATATAAACATCTTAGTGCCCTCTCAACATCTCACAAATCAAACCCAAAACTTCATAAATCTCTTCCAAACTCGTTTGCTTAATTTGCTCTGCTGCTTAATTCTCTCGTTCAAGAAACAAACGAAGAACAAAACATATCAACCATGGCTTTGATCAAGAGCAAATCCTTCTTCACTTTTTTGATGATTCTTGTGGCACTTTTGGGAGTTGCTGTTGGAGGAACCGTTCACAAAGTCGGTGACTCGAACGGATGGACCATGATGGGCGTGGACTACGAAGCTTGGGCCTCTTCAAGAACTTTTCAAGTTGGAGACTCGTTGGTCTTCGAATACAACAACGAGTACCACGACGTCACTCAAGTCACTCTCAATGATTTCGAGCTCTGTGAACCGTCTAACTCGCTAGCCACATACCAAACCGGTTCTGACATGGTCAAACTAACCAAACCGGGAGTCCAAAACTTTATATGCGGAGTTCCTGGTCACTGCGACGTAGGTCAAAAACTTCAAATCCACGTCTTACCAGCCTCGTTGGGTCCCGTTGCAGCTCCCGTTCCTAGACCGGTCCGATCACCAAGCTCCTTCTCGCCTCCTTCACCGTCTCCGTTGGCTTATTCACCGGTTAATAATGCTCCACAGTATCAGATGGGACAATCACCAGCTCCACATAGCTCAGCTTCAAGCTCTCGTATTTGGATAGGATTATGCTCCCTATTTCTTTTGCTTTCTCTTATCGTCTTTAGTTGATAGAGTTACGCACGTTTTGTTTCCTTTTGGTTCCACTTCTTACTTTTATCCTACGTACGTGGTTTGAGACTTTGAGTTGTAGTTTTTTGTTTGCTCCTTTAGAGCTTTTGTACTTCAACATCATAAATGGAGTCAGTTTTATTTTTTTTCTTGTGCTCATTTAATTTATGTACTTTCTTGCACTTTCGCAGCCGAGAAATTAGTCAGCTGTGAGTCCATAGTATATGACTATATTTGAGACATCGGAAAAGTGATTATCATTTGTAAATTGTCAGATGTAAGGTCTTTATTAAAAAAAATTATGGGATCTTAACACCTATCTTATGCCTTATATCCATATATTTATGATTCAAGACTATACTATTAAAGAAGATAGGTGTTATTACTATTAAAGAAGATATGTTTCTATAAAATCATTGAAATAATTTATCCTCAGTTTTATCCAGACCAAAAAAAAGAAGTTTACATAGTCTTATAGATAAGGTCTACGAAGAACGACATTTATCAATGCTTTAGGATTGGTGTGATCAAATCAACGATAATATAGGTTAAAGTGATTTGAACTTTAAATAGTAGTCACACGACGACCATCATTTTTTACCCCCAAAGTGGCAAAGTTGATCATCATTTTCATACGAGTCGTTGAAAGCTAATAATCTTCGTACCAATATTTTGAGGGAGAGTGTTAAGATCTCATATTAATTAACTTAACATGGTATCACTATTCACTAATAGATTACTTAAGTCTCTTAGAAACTTTCACAATCAATGTGAGATTCTAACAACGTGCTTTCTCTAAAGACGTTATGTTATATTTATGTGGAACTAAGAAAAGACAATGTATAAAATAGGGTGGATTTTTTTAGTTATAGATTAGGCAACTTCAACAAAAATCTTCCTAAAAGATTATTCGGAAACTTTTGGTCAGTCGGGAACAAGCCTAGCCTTGATTTGGCCAGTAATGTTAGTTACACCATGACAAGTTTATGAGCTCTCTATCCTCCATCTAGTACGTTACGTAGTGTCTACATAAGACGTAAATACCATTAATGTTTTTTTTTTTTGGGTAAATACCATTGATGTTATTTCTTTTCTTTTTTTGGTCGAATCGTTGATATTATAATTTTGTTCTATTTTTCATTTTATTGACACTCCTAATTTGATGCGTGATTGAGCAGTGATTGTAATAATATGCAAGAGAAAATTAAAAGGAATATAACACGCATTAAAATATATAGAGAAATTTTAGAAATTAGGAAAGGATTGATAACAATATTTTAACTTGTTTAGATTTCAAATTTATCTTTTGATATGGTATTTGGTAAGGACCGATACCGAAATTTACATCAATAAAAGTTATGAAGGTTTATCTAGGTTATTTGATATTAATTAAGTACTAATGTATATCTATTTTATTTACAGCGTTCTAAGGGGGCAATTCTAGTAGGTTAAATAAAGTAAAAAGGAAAATCAACCAAAACACGAGGCAAATCAGGTAAGTATAACCATTAAACAAACAAAAGAAAACAAAAATCAATATGAAAATGAAATATACAAAAAGAAAAAAAAAATAAAAAAAGGAAATCAAAAGTAGACAAGGTCCCTTGTATTATTCTAATTTGTATCTATATGGAAAACGGGAACAAAGGACCTAAACAAATTAACAAAAACATCAGTCGGCTAAAAGAATAAGGAAAATCTTCAAACCCTAATAATGGGAAAAGGATTAAGCTAAAACGATACTTGGGGGTTACATCTTAGTGCCCTCTCAACATCTCACAAATCAAACCTAAAACTTCATAAATCTCTTCCAAACTCGTTTGCTTAATTTGCTGCTGCTCAATTCTCTAGTCCCAGAAACAAAAAGAAGAACAAAACATCAACCATGGCTTTGATCAAAAGCAAATCCTTCTTCACTTTTTTGATGATTCTTGTGGCACTTTTGGGAACTGCCGTGGGAGGAACAGTTCACAAAGTCGGTGACTCAAAAGGATGGACCATGATGGGCGTGGACTACGAGGCTTGGGCTTCTTCAAGAACGTTTAAAGTCGGAGACTCTTTGGTCTTCGAATACAACAACGAGTACCACGACGTCACTCAAGTCACTCCCAACGATTTCGAGCTCTGTGAACCATCTAACCCGTTAGCGACATACCAAACCGGTTCTGACATGATCAAACTAACCAAACCGGGAGTTCAAAACTTCATATGCGGAGTTCCTGGTCACTGCGACGTTGGACAAAAGCTTCAAATCCACGTCTTACCAGCCTCGTTGGGTCCCGTTGCAGCTCCCGTTCCTAGACCGGTCCGATCACCAAGCTCTCTCTCGTCTCCACCGTTGGCTGATTCACCGGTTAATAATGCTCCACAGTATCAGATGGGACCATCACCAGCTCCACATAGCTCAGCTTCAACCTCTCGTGTTTGGATCGGATTCTGCTCCCTATTTCTTTTGCTTTCTCTTATCGTCTTTGTTTGATAGATTCACACACGTTTTGTTTCCTTTTATCAGACGTACGTCGTTTGAAGACTTGGAGTTGTAGTTTTTTTTGTTTCTTTAGTGATTTTGTTTACTTCAACATCATAAATGGAGTCAAATTCTTTTTTTTCCTTTCTTAATTATGCTCATTTAAATTATGTACTTTCTTGCACTTTAGCAGCCGATAAATTAGTCAGCTGAATTGGAGTCCATAGTATACGAGACTTTATTTGTAAATTGTCAAATTCAAAGTTTTTATTAAATAGTGATTACAGCACTAACATACGTACAATCTGCAGTATGTATATGCATGTTTTCATATAAACTATTACAAAAATAAATGATAGGGGAATCAAACAAATTTTTCTTCTCCCGGATAATTTGAGTATTATAATAATAATATGTACGCGACTCAATTTTTGCTACAAACAATGCATACTAGCGTACTCAAGATATGTTTAAAGCGTGCCAAATTGCCTGGCCACTATATATCTGGATGTGGGTTTCATGTCGACCCCAAAACTTGCGTTATATTTTCTCTTTCAATATATGAATAATATGCAGAAACAAACCAAAACCATGATAGGTACCTAAAAACGTGAAACAGATTTCATGTATACTTCTTTTACAGAAAATATCCACATCACCATTGAAACAAAAACAAACGAAAAAAAAAACAAAAAAAGTATCACATCAACTTATATACTTCTTTTACACCAAATATAAAATTTTATAATGTTAGTGTTAGCTATAAAAATAAATCTATTTCTGCTTATAGTTAATTTCTTTTATTTGAGCAATTAATTTATATTCCTAATAGATATATATGTGTGAAAGAATAAAAATGTTAAAAAACAAAAATTCACTAATTATTATTGAATATCCGACATTATTATTATTATCAAACATTATTATTATCAAACATTATTATAATTAATTGAAATTACAATCCTAAAAGGAAAAGGATTATTTGAAGCCTCTATCTAGGTACGTATCTATATAAACAACACAAACAAATCTAAACAATTTCCTCACAAAACTAACCTATATCGATCTCTTTTTCTCATTGTGTTATTCTACCTGATTAAGCTCGATCAAGGGAATAATCAGCATCGATCATGAAGAACACAAACATCATGAGTTTGTTAATTGTGGTATTGTCACTAATCGGATTAGCTAGTGCTTCATCCTTTTACGAAGTTGGAGACGCCAACGGATGGACGTCAACGATGGGCGTTGACTATTACAAGACATGGTGTTCTTCAAAGACTTTCTACGTTGGTGATGCTCTCATCTTTCAGTACGACAAGGATCTCAACAATGTGATGGAAGTGAGCTTCAAAGATTATGAGTCGTGCAACCCTAGTTCCCCTCTGGCTACATATCATTCCGAGTATGAACCGGTTCTCCTTAACCGAACCGGCCACTTTTACTTCTTATGCGGTGTGCCTGGTCACTGCGAATCTGGTCAAAAGCTTCACGTCCTGGTCTTGCCTGCCTCTCTACAGAATACTCCCATAGTTCAACCAAACAACCCTTCTTCATCTTCTAACCCTAAACCTAGTCCTACTAATCCTAACCCTTCTCCTTCGCCTCCATTAGAGGATCCTCTTGAGGTTCTTCCAGTAGATGCTGCAACGATTGCAATGCTTCCTTACAATGCGGTCTCAGGCCCTTGTGTGTGGAGCAGTTTTAGCATGCTCTCCTTCATTCTTCTTCAAACCCTAGTTTTTCTTTAAGGATTTTTTAATTTTTTTTTTTTAGGATTATGTTCGTTTTTTAAGGGTTATTTGGGGGATCTAAAAGTAGATTATTTTTTGTTTATTATTGCTTATACTAGAATGCTTATTGGTGTTTGATTTTATTTTCCATTATGGATTATTTATCTCCTTATAATCTCAAATCTTTTTTTTATTGTTGGCATAATCTCAAACTCCTGATATATTGAAACTCGTGTATATCACTTATAAATTGGGAATACTATAACTCAATAGTCAAGACATGTGTGTCATTAAATAGACACACGGCCACCCACAAAACTTTCTTTATAACGATAAATCCGCTGGTACACAATGATAATATAATATCGGGATGGATCTATCTTCTTTTTGTAATGGAAGAATGCATCTTCTTGCGTATAAGTTATGAATCTATATAATATGAATGTTCCTCGTACATATTCAATAGTTTTCTTTTTGTAAGATTGTGTGACAAGAAAGAGAGCCGGAACCAAACGAGCTTTACTAATAAAAACCGGAAAATTAAGTATGGAAGGTTACTCTTTGGCTCGTTTGCTCAAGGATTTGCGCTTGTTAACGTCTAGACATCTCTTCCTCAACCGAATCGTCTTTGGAGTAACCTGAACACATTAAATCCAGTAAATACAAAAGAAGCCAGAACAAGAGTTTTGTTATGGTTCATGATTGGCCGGATTTGCGATTAGCAATGAGCATTGTACCTCAATTAGTTCATCTGAGGCAACGTATCCTATAGCTTCCTCAAGTGTCATCTGAATCGAAAAGAATTAAAGAAAATATCTCAATACAGGTCAAAACACCAACACAAAGAGCAAGAAAGTTTAGTCATCAAGAAGCGATTTTATTATCTCTATAGATGATGTGAAAAAAGATGGGGTAGAGAAAAGGGTACATACGTGGCGAGGTGGAGATAGCTTCACATTTTCATCATTGTTAGCAGAGCGAATGTTGGTAAGTTGTTTGGCCTTAACCGGGTTAACCTGTAGTATGCAATGCAAGTGAGCCCATGGGATTTAAGTCAATTATTTGTGATTTTTCAAGTATGAAAAGGGGGAGTTGAATCAACTCACATCAAGATCTGTATCTCGTGAGTGCTCACCAATAATCATGCCATCGTATGACTGTTAACAAAGACAGAAAAACAGAAGAAGATGCAGCATTAGCAAGGATCAAACGCACGAGGACCACATAAATGTTATCGTATTTAGAAAGTTCTCACGTCCAGCCCTGGAGCCACAAAAAGGATTCCACGAGCTTCCAAACCCATCAGGGAATGAGCTGTAATAGTGCCAAATCCCATCGATACCTGGTTCATCAAGAAATATGAATTTTAATTATAACTTACGAGTGGAGACACAACTTTTAGGAAAGAAAGACGTCAAGTAAAAAGGGATCTCTCTTATTCAACAACCAGCCATAAGACAACGAGCCTCATAGCTATACATCAGATGGTGATGTATTGAGATACCGAAAGGATATTGACTCCTCAAAGCCATACACTAGAGAAAGGTTAGCCATAAACGTACCAATACTCCTTTCCTAACATTGCCAAGTGGACCTCGGTACTTTTCATACTCTGTAGTAATGAAATACACAATAGTTATTGACTGGAGAAGAGAGTGACAAAAAGAAATTGGATATCGTAGACGTTTCTAATAATCAATTATTGTAGTGGGAAAAGCAGCAATACGTTTGCATATGTGATTAACCCTCTTTCGACAGGAAAACTAATGACATCTGAAGCTGAAGCCTTAAGAAATATATGCAAGAAATATTGTTTTATGTAGATCATCGCTTTATCAAAGATGACTCACCTGAACTGATGCCTAGGAAAGAAGAAGACAACAAAGAAAAGAAAGGAGAAAAAGGGTCTGGAGAGGCAGAGAAAAGAGTAGAGAAGCTGCATACTTAGGAAAGCACGATGCATGAATCCAGTTCCACGGGTGTCGCTGCTAAATACACATCTGTACCCAACCAAACCTCTGTAGAACGCAAGTATCCCTTGGTTAAATTTCTTCAAAGCATATTACTGAATGATTTTAATGAAAGTAGTTTAAGTAACTGAAGTTGCTAAACAAACCTTGAAGGACAAGTTAATGACAGCCTCGTCCTACCATCATTTCCAGGGACAGGACACATATCAATAACTTCAGCCCGCCTATGGGAGAGAGCTTCCATCACTAATCCTACGTGCTCTTCATTAATCTCAATAGTCACCTCTTCAATAGGTTCAAGCCTTTGTCCATTTTCAGTTTTGTACCTGAATCAGATAGTAGAAACGCACAGAAATCAGAAGAAGACCAACATAAAGTTTTTAGAAAGTAATCCCTAGAAGATAAATAATAGACTAGCTTACGTACAAGTGTAGTAGTATCTGCACAGAAATCAAATAACTTGGAAAAAAACAAGAGAACTCTTCTACTGCTTTATGAAACAAATGGTAAGACACTTTTCTTTAAAACCCGCAGAAGAAACATATAGCGTTAGCTTAAAGTAAGAGTAACATGACAGCAACAAGTTAAGCCTCTACAACTACCGACATAAATTATCCACTATAACTATATCCAACTCTAACTATATGGTTGATATAGTATGTGGGCAACTAATGCAACACAAATGAAAAGGATGAAACTCACATGACTTTAGGTGGTGAGACCGAGAGCTCAAAACCTTCCCGTCTCATATTCTCAATCAAGATACCTGTTAGACACGACAGAGATTAATTCACCTGGCACAGAGAAATAGATACAATCAAATGTTCTGACGTAATTATTTCAATCTTTACAGGTGAAGAAACACTGAGCACAAATTGGAAAAGCACAAACCAAGTTGAAGTTCTCCTCTCCCTTGGACTTCAAATGACTCTGACATGCCTGGAATCACGTTTATGGCAAGATTTGTTTCAGCTTCTGCCATTAACCGGTCCCCAATTCTCCCTCCAGTTAACTGCATGCATATTAGCAATAGCTTATCAACATGTGCCAGATCGAGTGATCCAGTGGTCTACAACCGAACGCAACATTTCTTCATATATTGCTTAGGAGGTTCAAATCAACTCATACTGCTAGCAACATATAGGTGAATTCAGATGAAACAATGCAGCAGCACAAAGGTATATCCGAAGCTGCTTCAAGTTTAAACCAGAGTACAGTGGCTAGAGCTACAACTTGTTGATAAAATTTAAAACATTGTTGCTAAAATTAAAACATACGTGGGTGCCATCCCGACCAGCCAGAGGAGAGTCATTGACACCAAACGTCATAGAAATTGTTGGTGGATCCAGCTCAACAGAAGGGAGTGCAGTTGTAACCTGCACGACCCCAAAAATAAGATACCCAATCAAGCTGCTTAATTTTCAAATAGGGCAATATAATTTGAGAGGTGGTGATAAATGTAAAACTCACGTATATATTTTCTAAAAATTAATTAGGGACGTAGTCTACTCGGATATTACCTCTGTACTAGCTACCGTGTGACCTATTGATGGAGCTGTCAAACCAGCCATACAGATTATATCACCAGCTCCTGCGGCGTCAATTGAAACTATGCTCGTTCCTTTCTTTTTCATTAGCTTCACAACCTATGAGAAAGATGTTTGTATCTGCTTAGATGAGGTATCGATGTTTACAAACACGGCCGACCAAGTATTAAGCAATATACAGACAAACCTTTGCTTCCTCTATTTTCTCAGAGCCAGAATCAGTATTCCGTAGTCCATTGACTTTGTCGCCAACACGGACAACTCCAGAAGTTACTCTTCCAGTTAATATTCGTCCGAGATAGGAGTCCTTCTCCATCATTGAAACCTGGAGTTCAGAAACGAAAACACTAGTAAAATTTCATTGCCAGTGGCTTAAGCAGTTCAAATATCTCTTTTCCTCAAAATAAAGGTTACAAACTTATGAATATCTTCCAATCTTGGCATATTACCTACAGAGCAATTTTACATTCATAATAGGAAAGCTGAAGGTCACAAAACACTGAATTATCCAAAAAAAAATCCAGCCGATGTCTTTGTTTTTAAGGGAAAAACTTTTAAAAATACTATCTATATGAAGCATTTAAGTTAAACAGGTGATCTATATGAAACACTACTTTGGGACGCCTAACAAAAATCATGTGAACTGTGTTAGTCTATCTCAGCAATAATTAGGAAACACAACTTAATGATCACCTACTTAACACAATTTAATGATCAGCTACTTGATATAGGACAATAGAAGAAATGAACGAAATTGCATAAACAAAATTTGCCCCCCCATGTTCAAAATTCATTATTCGGAGTTTTAAATTACCAGCATCAGGAATGGGTCATCAAGGTTTGCTTTTGGTGGTTGAACATGTCTTACTACAGCATCAAGTAACTGTGACATATTCCTCGCATCTGCAGGAGGTTCTTTGGTGAAGGTAGAGGATGTCCACCCTTCTTTTGCGGAGGCATAGAGAACAGGAAACTCTAGTTGTTCCTCTAAAAGTGGAGACCGAAATATTGATTTAGTCAACAATGATAGGATACATGTGTAAATGAATTAGAATACATATAAACACTGATATACTAATTACCTGTAGCACCAAGGTTTGCAAAGAGATCAAACACCAAACTCTCCACTTCATCACACCTCTCTTCCGAAACTGACAGCGACGTAGGAAGCATTCCAAATAAAAAAAAACATAAAAGGATAAGAAAATCTTTACAAAATATAACAGACAAACAAGTCTTGACTGATAGAGGAAGTGAATGAAACGCATACCTGAAGGTCGATCTACCTTGTTTAAGAGAAGAATAGGGCGTAGCCCATACTTCAAGGCCTTGGCAAGAACAAACTTTGTCTGTGCAAGAGGGCCTTCTCCAGCATCGACGACTAATATAGCTCCTTCAACCATACCAACAACTCGTTCGACCTACATTTCAAATACAGAATAGTCACAAATATATCGCCTATATTCTACTCCAACGAATGTACTAATGCTCGAGGACAAACTCATGCTTAATTTTTCAGATAGCAAAACTATCACCACGACTATGAGTAGGTATTGAAAATTTCTATTGCATCTATCTCATTGCCACTTAGGAAAAAGTAAGTGAATTGAGATGCCAGCCAGTAACTTACTTCAAGAGTTATAGAAAGAAAGCCTAAACTTTTTAACAACTATCAACTTCTATTGTCAAAGTAAAAACAGTGTTCCTACTGGGATCTATATCGGCTCGTGGAATATATACAGATCCGATATGCCACACTGATGAGTTAAGAGCATGAGAATCACTACTAATACGCTAAAATACGCTAAAAGTAACCATTTATAGGGATGAGCCACATACCTCACCACCAAAATCTGCGTGACCAGGTGTGTCTACCATGTTAAGTTCGTTGTCCTTCCAAAATATGGATGTAACCTGTCGGAAAGTTACACATAAACTTCCAACTGTTACGTTACAAGGTAATAATCAACAAGCAATCAATATACAATAGAAAACGACTCAAAGTCTTCACAGACAAAAGAACCGAACGAAAAAGGAAATAAAAGGAGAAATTAGTCAAATTGGGGAAAAAAAAAATAGAAATTCTTCGGCTTTGTTACAGTCTCGATGAGGATTCAAATTACCACTCTATACACAGAACCATTTTCAAAGTGTGAAGTAACACTTAGCTCTACCAAACAGACGAAATGAGATACCTTAATAAACAAGGAATCAATATACAATAGAAAATGACTCAAAGTCTTCACAGAAAAAAGAACAGAACGACAAAAGAAAGAAAATGAGAAATTGGGCAATCACTCATTTTCAAAGTGTGAAGTAACAATTAGCTCTAATTTCGATCAAAGTAGACTGAAATTCAACAAAATGAGAAACCTTTGAAGAAATAGTGATCCCTCGCTCGCGCTCGAGGTTAATGGAATCCATGGCACGCTCGTGTGGAATATCGGCTCCACACTGACGGAGAAGCCGGTCCATGAGCGTCGTCTTGCCGTGATCGACATGAGCAATCACAGCCACGTTCCGGAGACGATTTGGGTCTAGCGAGCTGCTGGGAGCTCCGGGGACAGCCGTAGAAGCTGTGGCGGAGGAGAAGGCGCGTAAGGACGAAAGAGTGTGTCCGAATTTGAGATAGGAAGATTTGTAAGTTGATGTATGAGAAGAGAGCGATCTTCGAGTGGTGTTTGACCAGAGAGATCGAATCAGAGGACCCGCCATCTCTCTCTCTCTCTCTTCACGAAATGTGTCTGATAGGGTTTTACAAGATCTAAAATCTCTGCCCGAAAGAAGGCAAAGGGTTTTTGTTTTATTGTTATTTTCAAAGTAAGCTACAAACTCTTTTAAATTTCCATTATTCGCCGCTTTATTTTAATTTAGCTCTACTACTCCCATACGATGATAAAAACCAGGCCTTGTGTCTTTGTCAAGATAAATTGGAATTTGGCTCAGCTAGATGTCTCTAATGGTTCTTTTAATGGTTATATAGATGAGAAGATTTTAATGAGTGTATACCAGTTTTTTTTTGGCAGTTCGGCTAAATCAGAATATAGAGCTTTGGCTCTTGGATTTTGTGAACTGGTTTGGACTATTTGTAATCTCGAAGAATTTTAAGCTTTTGTATTCTGATTCTTCTTGTGTGCTCTACCGCGAAAATAATGTAACTCTTTATATTGCTTGAAAACATATTTCTTTCACGGAAGAACTAAGCATAGAGAACATCAATTTTCATGTAATCGTCTTGATTATAGTTTTATGAAGACGTTTCATGTTCGGTGTGAGCATGATCAACTAGCAAATGCTTTGAATTCGACTCTATATATCCATCACAATTTCGGAAGTTACTTTTTAAGATGAGTCTTTCTAACATGTATTTGGACATCCATTTTGAAAAGTGGTTTTAGATTTTGATTCTACCCGTTTGTTCTAGCGTTTATCTATTGGTTTAGTTATTTGGTTTATATATATATATATATATATATATATATATATATGTGTATTAATTTTTGGACTAATGTTTTGGCCAGTACGTGGACGTTTACACTTTACATATTGATTTGCAAAATTATGTCATTGGAGATAAGTGGAGATTTTGAAATTGTAATGATTTTGAGATAAGTCGGCTAAGAATTGATTTAAATAAGTGGAGATTTTAAAATTGTATTGATTTTGAGATAAGTCGGCTAAGAATTGATTTAAATGTGTGGAGATTCTAAAATTGTATTGATTTTGACTCGTTAAAGCGGTTAAGTCTTTCAAATTTCTATCGTGTAGGTTTCTAATTTTTCTTCCATCACATCAAAAATATCCATCACATGCATTCACAAAATTGTAGATAGTTAGTTGTAATTCTTTTGTTGGCCTCTTCCAATAAACCAAGCACAATCCTTGAATAAAAATGCCAAAGTGGTCATTCTCATTTTAGATAAATTTTTATTATATTTAGGCCCTTATATTAATATAAATTGTATTCAAATTTTTCAAAGTACGAACATTCTTAGCTTTCAACGTCTCGTATGAAAATGATGATCAACTTTGGGGGAAAAAAGTGATGGTCGTCATGTGACTACAATTTTAAGTACAAATCACTTTAACCTATATTATCCTTTATTTCATCACACCAATCTTAAAATATCATGTACGGGTGCCAAAACAGTGATAAATGTCGTTCTCTGTAGACCCTATCTATAAGATTATTGATACTTCTTTTTGGTCTGATTAAGACTAAAAATAAATTATTTCAAATATTTTACAGAAATATATCTTCTTTTCAAATAAAAATTAAAAACTAAGTAAACCAAAGCTGAACTATCGAGATCATTTGGTACCTCTGTCACAAAGCATTGAATACTCAATAACAACTTTTGCATAAACATCCTAAATTTTGTAGTAATATTGACTTTTCTATTAAATAGTCACAACTTTTAGCAGCTAAGCTAAAGGTCATCAGAACTCAGAAGCTATGTTTTCGAAAAGAAAAGAAAAGAAAAAAGTGGTTATCTGCACAGATGGTAATGAGCTCTTCTTCTTCAACTACCCTCATTTCTACGACCCCATGTTCTGAAGCTTTCAACTTTTTTTGGAGAACATTATTTAGCAGAAGACATAAAAACCACAAACAAAAAACATAAAATTAAAACTCACTTGAAGAACAAAACTGAGATTACTATATCGCAAAATGAAGGCAGTATTAAAGCGAAAACACATAGAACCCATCTCGTTCATTGTTCAATATGGTAATCTTGATGACCAGTGCAAAATCATAGAACAATTAAGCAAAACTGAATAATAAAAATAGTAAAAGAGAAATAGCTAGTAGTCTTGAATTCATAAATATATGGATAGAAAGGTATAGTAATAAACATATATTGCGTACTTTCCTTCCATCACATTAATTCCTCCTTTTAGCTCAATGTCATGATGAATCAGAACCTCCATTGTTGTTACCCTTTGCGTCTGAAATGAAAAGATCAATGAGATATACACTTATTGGTTTATTAATAAAGATTCAAAGGGTTAAAATTAACCTAATCTAAAGTGTATAGATACATACAAGCAAACCTGTGTTTAGAGGTGTGAGTTTGGAGTAGAAGAAGGAGAGTTTGGTTGAGTAGCTTCTTCTCCATGGATGGGGAAACTAAGGCCTTGCATCATCATCATCCCATGAGAACCAAACTGTGATGGAGAAGCAAACATCACAGAAGAAGAAGCCTGATTGTGATGATGATCCGACGTCGTTTGATGATGATGATGATGATGATCCCAAGAACGAATAGAATGAGGGAATAAACTGGACTGAAGGGTACCCCTTTGTTGTTGTTGGCCACCAAGAAACACTTGTTGCTGCTGACTATTAAGCAATGTCATCATCGATGGTTGATGATGATGGTGATTCACCATGAAACCACCATTACTCCTTTCTTGTTCTTGTTCCGATGGTGATGAAGGTGACGTCATCGCTAAGTCGTGATGATTCCAGCCCGAGATCCTCCCGAATGTCTCAAAAGGAGTCGTGACGAAACTGTTGGTCTCGGGGACTACTGTGTTGTTGTTGTTGTTGTTGTTTCCTTGAAATGTGTGAAGAGAGAGTCCAAGATCTTGGCTAAGGTTCGGTGTTGTTCTTGCTGCTGTTCTTGAGACTATATTGTCGTCACCATGATGAGGGTAGTTTTGAAAATTCATGTTTGTACCACCACCGGTTGTTGTTGTCGTCGTCGTCGCCGGGAAGAACGTTTTCATTGCGTCTTCAGGATCAAGATTCGCCGCCACGAACTGCGTCTGGTTATTAACCAAGTTTGGCTCGGGAGGAGAAGATCCCGTGTTAGTATTATTCTCCGGTTCTTGAGTGACTTCGAGCTTTTCGATGGCGGATTTAGCTTTCTTGATGAGCCAATCCACGGCTTTACTTGGCCGGTCATACCCTAACCGGTCTTGAACATCGTAGAACTGAATCGCCGTGTGAGCTGAGAGTCTCACGCGCCGGTCACGTGGACCTTTAGATGTGAAGACTTTGCTATGACGATCTTTGCGTCCCGTGGCTCGGATTATGTGACCGCCTTGAACTTCAACTATCTCTCCTCCTATGTCTCCCCCGACGCTATAACCTTTAAGTCCCATTTTTTTTTTCTTTTTTTGTTTTACCTCTCACTCAAAATGACATTTTTCTCGGTGGTTTTTATTTGTTTTCAACAGCTTAGGAAGGAAACTTGCGTGCCGTTTTTGTAAAGATCTTCAGAGTGCTTGCCGTTTTTTGTGTTGTAGTTGTGTTTGGTGTGTAGTGAGTTAATAACATCTGATGCAGGCTGGAGACAGCTACCTGAAAGCTGATACAAGAAGCAGCTCCTCTATGCAGATCCCCAAAAGATCTGCCATGGCAGTCACCATATTCAATGAACCAAGATAACCAAATAACCCCAAAAAAAAAAAGAGATGAGGCCTCACAGCAAAAGAATTGATAGGAAAAAAAGAAGAAGAGAAAGACTTTTGTTGATACGTTTATTTGGTCTAAAATTGAAGGGCAAGAAGAAGAAGAAGAGAGAGAATAATAGAGAGAGAGAGAGAGTAGTGTTGGTGGAAAGGATGGCAGAAGTTAAGGGTTCAGAATCGAAAAGCAAACTAAATAAATACCCTTTTGCTTTCAACCTTTTGTTCCTTATTATAAGATTCCCATTTCACATATCACAAACATGTGTCCTTCCTTGAGTTCTTAGCCACATATATAAATATATATATTTATATATTTATTTCAGTATTATTTGTGAATTCATCAATCATTATTCTTCAATCATGCGTGATATATCAAATTCTTGGAACATACATAACAATGTGAAAAAACCTCTCACACATATTATACGGATATGTTGGTTGGCAGAAAATTACATGTTAATCAGAGTGGACAATGGAATAGTTTGACTAAATAGTATTGTTGATGTTGAGTCTCGTTTTTCTATTGTTTTTTTTTATCTTGTTAAGGTCACGATTTTTTTTTAATCTATGTATAATTATATACTATAGACGGAGAGTGACAGAGAATTGATTTTATGTGATTCATGTGGAAAACTATGATTAAAGCCTAATGTTGAATGAGATTGGAATTTCGAGGAGCAAAAGTTGTTTGGAAGTTATGATTAAGGTCATCGTCAGAGAATTTTGCCTTTCCTTTCAATTACAACACTACCATTTACTTCATAAGGAAGAACAGTTTTTTTCAACATTTTTTCTTATTATTGAAGGCGTTGATAATGATACACAACTAGCTTTTTTCTCGCTCCACTAAAAAGAGGGCCAGTGAAATAGACTTACGTACGTTTCAGACTTATTTTTCTTCTTACCACAACCATACGTTATACATTTGAATATTAGTTTGGAGTTTTGGAATAATGTCTAGATATTTTTGTACATATTCGTTGGTTTTAATTATATATAAAATTTATAGTAATATTTTTGTTCCCAAAATTACACGTTCAGTTTTAAACCGTGTTGTATATATGCTTACGTTTTATGTTACAATTACATTTGTTCAATTTATGTTGTTAATTAATATTAATTCTTTTTTTGTCAGCAACTTAAGTTTGATTGATAAGAACATGTAATGTAATAGTTTGTATTAGTCTTATGATTATATCAAATACCAAATTTAAATATGGCATTTGAAGATGAATACTTATTTTTTTCATAAAAGAAGGTGTATATTGTTGATAAATAAATATCTAAAGCTCAATTTAAAACTATGTTTGGAACATTTTTAAAGCATGATTAACTATTCATTTCAACATAGGTCAGTGTGTGTATGGAAACATCAAACAATCAACAGCTTGTATTTCACTTGATCAAAAATTGGATGTCTTTGTTTGTGTTTTTCATAGACCACAAATAAAATATAATAAGAGGAATAACAGAATTGAAAAAGTGGGAAATTTGTCGTCAACTTGAAGACTCCCGAAAGTTAAAGAAAAAAAAAACGAATTGCAGGATTTTAGTTTAGTGTCTTTATAGAAAAAGCATACGCGCATGCAATTTGCCTTCATCCCAAAAGATTCCACATTAATTACACATACTTCCTCCAAGTCGTGAAACTTAAGTTAGCCCTACACCCTTTATATCTTATCCATCATATCTACTTTTATTTTAATAAAGTCATACCCAATTTTAGTTCGGTTTTACTTAAACATTCCTATGGATGACTATTGATCTCGTTGAAAAGAATAAAATAAACAAAGATGACTAATGATCTTGGTCTATGATGATAAGTTTGGCGAATTGGTTATAAGTGTAGTGAACCTTCCAGGTCAATTCGGAGCTGAGATAAACTGAGAGAGAGAGAGAGAGAGAGAGAGAGAGAGAGAGAGAGAGAGAGAGAGACTCTCACATTCATGCAACATCTCGTCTGTGTCCGCATGTGAATTTCTGAGTCTTATATGCTCCACTTGCGGTCTATATGGATACCTACTTTCATCCGATGGTTGGTTTGCTCTTTCACAAAATTCATAAAAATTCTTCATTGACACCATTTCTTGTAACTATTCCCACATGCACCGCTATTTTATCTAGAAATCGAAATATAATACACTTTTCGTGACTCACAGAACTAAGTTGATGTTGTGAAGACCGAGATTGTTACCTCCAAAAATAAGTTCAAAATACTCCTTATATATTAGTTTGAGTTTGGTTTGTAATACACATATTTGCATTCTAATATAACTGGTTTCTTACAAATTTATTGAAATGAGAGCATTAACTGGAAAATAATAATTTGAGTCCTTGACGTTAAAAAAATAATAATAATTTGAGTCCTTTTTCCAACTGGAAAGTAGGCTATATATCTAGATAGGAAGAACTAGGAAGCGTCGAGAATAATGGAATGTGAATGTATGATAACTAAAGTGTTGGGCATCAGGGAACCTAACTGAATTATTGATACTTAGCTTTTTCATTTGTCATATCAACGACCTTTCTCGTATAATTAGCTTTTATATTAGTTGATATTTCAAAATCATCTTTCTTAGATTAATCTTGCGAGTAATACGTTGTATAGCAACTATATGAACTACATGATAACATTTCTAACTCTGAACAATAAGTATTTAAAACTATATGAACCAAAGATTCTCTAATAACATAGAATTGATACTCAGATGTATATAAGGACACTGGTCAGATATGTAGATAGTTAAATATGTTGTCATACACTCATACTATAGACATATATATATATATTAGTTCTAAGTCCGTGTTATATATTTATGTTTTGATTTAAGAAGTTTACTATATGAATAATTGAACAGAGATGCTTGTGATATATTATGAAATAACTGTAATTAATAAGTTTACTACTTTTTTTATCAATAAAAAATAGTGTTGCCATTGGAAAGAAAAATGAGACCTGTTTGTGTAGATGTTGGTGCTATTGATGACAGTCCCGGGCTCGTGGGACGATCCAAACTTGTGAGTGTGCTGCGTATTGTGTTCTGGATGGCTTTGATCAGAATTGTGGGCGGTCTAGATTGAGGTCCATGAAGATGAGCATTTCTTTCTTTCCAAGTAAAACTTAGTTACTTGTAACAATTTGAATCATCAAGTCATAGTTAGAAATTCTAAAAAAAAAATCGGTTATATGAATTTACTCTCATTTATTAAACGGATACCTCTGCAAACAACATTTGTTCTTTAGCCAGAGAGTTAAACTGTCAGTATCAGGACAGAGAGATAGTAATCAATGTGATTTTTTTTCTTCTTCTTTTTTGGCTAAAAGCTTTATGGTACAATATACATTGTGAAGTTGCAAGTTCCATGGATTAAAAAAAAAAAAAGAAGAACGAAACAGTGATTTGTAAATGGTATGCAAAAAAAAGGTGTAGGGCTAAGGCATATACTGTGTTCGCAGACCTTGAAGACGAGAGGACGGTGGCAGAAATGGACCCCTCTCCCATCTTTGCTTCCTTTTTCTTCATGTTTTTGTTAGATTTCCATTGGTTTCTTCTATCAAATTATTAACTTTAGTCAATAATTTGTACGAAGAAAAACAAAAAGTAAACACTCAAGCTAACACTATAATCTACTAAGCTCTAGCTTTCGTACACGAACATTGATGATTGATTCAAAATTCTTATTACATGTTTTTTCATGTAAAAGGAATTCATACGATATATAGTTGATAAATATCCAACAATGTTTGTTCATTAATGAAGTAATATACGATTGACACAAGATACATATCCATGTCAGTGTACGTAGTGCTTGCTAGTAATTAGTAGCCAGTTAGTACAACAACAACTTACCACTTATCAATTAAATCATATTTATATTTTGATAATTTAGCTTGTCGATATTTCTTTCTGAATACTAATTTAAATGAATTTTCCAAGTCTCTGTCACTGAATAGTGAAAATAGAATGAAAAACACTGTTTGAAAAAAGAGCAAAAAATCCTAAAACAAGGGATATTTAAAGGGAAAATAATAATCAATTACATTGATGAAAGTAAAGTAGTAAAACAACAAGGCATCACGAAGATACGGATAGACAGGGGAAGAAGTGAAAGGAACCAATGAGAGATCTCGCGATCCAAGATGATGATTTAATGTCATTTTTCCTGACATTATTAGCTTTTGTTTTTATTTTTGCATTAAATACATAACGCACCTAACAGCCTAACATTTTTGTTTTTTCCTTCACATTATATAAGACAAAATTTCATATATGGAGTAAATTACAATTTCTGAGCAACGCAGCATATCAAATGCTGTAAGCTATCTTTCCCTTTTCTTCCTGAAGATTTAATGAGGAGAGGAAGATGTTAAAAACAAAAAAATATGACGACAGGTTATACAAGGAAAATCTTCAAAAATAAAAGCTGATCAAACCAGATAAAAGAAAAAGAGACATATAATAAATATATAAAATATATGAGCTCAAAACCAACTTATTTTAATATGAATATTCATAGACGTTTACAACTTCGAGAGAATTAAAAGTGAATCCACCAAGATTTGTATTCACTGATCGAAAGAAGGAAAAGATAGAAGATCAAAAGAAGGGAAAGAAAATCTTTAAAGAAAACAAAAAACAAGAGAGCTTAAAAAGGAGTTGTTGAGTCGACAAGTCCCAATCGTGAGTTAATAGATAGATATGTGAGGCTTTTATGGCGCGTGAATATTACGTTTCCATCACCCGACTTCACTTATTTTGTCAAAACAATACGAATCCTTGAACTTTTTTTTTTCTTTACATTTCTTCAAAAAAATTATTGCAGAGTATATATATATTTTTTTTTTTTGAGAAAAAAATATTTGGATTTTGCAGATATGTAGACAATAAATGTCTGATCGGAAAGATGTTAGTCTAGACAGAGCATAACAGATCACAATTCACCATGTGTAGAAGTTTATTGGATACAAACACACCAAGCAAAAAATTGTGGCCAAGCCAGAATTTTTTTTATTAGGGGCATAAATAAACAAATAGGAGCATATATAATTTTATGAGTAGGATAACTAATATTAGGCTATAATAAATTATATCACTTTTAAAAAAAAAATTATTGGGGACTAATGACCCCAAAATAGTACATGTGGCTCTGGCTCTACTACTGAGCAAAACATCTAACCGAAGCCTACCAACTGATCTAACATAAATATATATATTCTTTAATGATATTATCAAAGTACAAACTCTATACGATGTTACGATTAGGATTACTTGTCTTTTCTTGCAAGATCTAGGTAAAAATTGTGGTTTATAAAGTTTCAAGACTAAGATATATCATAGTATTATATTAGTCTCGAAACTATATAAACCTCTTTTTTCTTGCAATTTAAAACATGTATACAAATCAATGTAAAGTTGCATGGAAGATTATTTCTATTTATAAATACCACAATAGTTAGTAATTGTAGGCTGTGTAGCAATATGAACTCTAATCCAATAAAAGAAGAGTGATGCAATTTTTCTAATAGGAAAACCAATGAAGAGTAACTTAATTGCTAAGAGGTAATTTATTAATAAAAAATAGAGAATGAAGAAAAAATAAAAAGTTGATGATGACGAAATGCTGTGAGTAAGAACAGTCGATTTTTAGTAAATTTTAAATTAGCAAATTTATGTTATGAATTATTTAGGACATTAGAAAAAATTAGTTTCAACTAATAATTAATAATAAAACAATATGGTTTGAACATATTGTATTAACAGAAACGTTTGTTTGATTCTAATTAAATTCGAATTTATTGTGATGATAGTAATACGCATCATCATAAAATGTTTCAACAAATCAGTTTTATTACTGTTACTTTACTTCAGTGAAATCAAAACATTTAAATCATAATATTCAGAATCCCATATAGAATATATTTAAATAAAAGGTAAGTATTTGCTATTTATGAAATTAATTTTCGTGCAATATGTAATATGATACTATGTATTAATTGATGTAATTGTTGTTTTTTTTATACTTCTCAGTTCCCAAGATATATATCAGTATTAGAAATTGTTATCTTACACACTAAAGAACTAAACGCTGGATGACGACCTTTATGGGACGGAAGTTTGAAAGCCCAAAATAGGAGGATCCACCAGAAAAGCCCAAATATGATATATACTTGGGTTGGGTGATATATCAGCCTGGCTTAGAATGATAAGATTGCTTGCGGGCCACTAATATTGGTTTCTTGATTTTGAGTCAAATTGTTTCCGTTAGTTTTTTTTTTTTGGCAAAATGTAAAGATTGTACTATCAGTTTTCGAATTTTGACCGAACGAAATAGAAAAGATCGAAAACAACTGAAGCAAAACAACAGACGAGACTAGAAAAAGAAATATAACAAAACAACCTTAATAAAAAACCAATAGAAGAGCTGCACCAGGAACAAAACTGCGGAAAGGTGGCCAAACCAAATAAAGTATTTCAATTTTTTTTTGAACAAAAGTATTTCGATTTTAGTCAAAACAGTTAAAATACGAACCCGTTTGTAGTTAAAATACAGTTGTAGTACTCAATTACAGTTGTCCTTATGAGACCCTAAAATTGGGAGAACAAACACAAATCCGTTTGTAGTAAAAGAACAATTGTTTGATTTCACTGATTCGATGTGTATTTGTTTCCACGTAAATAATATATATATATATATATATATATATGGTTATTTTTTTGCCAAACCCAATTAAGTTGATAAAATGACAAAGCATAATTTTTTTTGGTCGACGACAAAGCATAAATTATATTATAGAGTCGAGATTTTTTTTTGAACGACAGAGTCGAGTTAGTTCCATTAGTTTACGCGAAAAGAGATAGTTTTTTTTTTTATTATTCTTTTATTCTTATAATCGTGAGCTATATATATGTGCCAAAAAGTTCACTAACGAATAATGTAACAAAGTTGGGTCGCTTTGCAACCCATAAAGCTTTCATAGTTTTTTTGGTAGATCGTATATATATATATATATATAACGATTGCAATTTTCTTTCTTTTTATATTATTAAATAGAAAACTGCAACATGTTTATTTAAAATACAAATAGTACCATCATTTTATTGGCAGGTGCGACTCACTTTTTCTTTTTACCGTACGGACTCTTTATTTTTTTTCCTCATCCGAAAAACTTATAAGGATATTTAGAAGATTTATTAAACAACGTATAGTACTATAATGGTTGAATATGTCATATATAATGGCAATTAAAACATGCAATTGACATCAAATCTTAAGGGCCCCTTAAGAAGTGGAGTAGAGTCAATGATAAAAGAATTATAATAGTGATTAAGATGGCAATCCTCGACCATTAATAGAAAAAGGTCCCTACTTATTTTTGGATAAAATGCCGAAAGTTTTTTAAAATATTTTTATCAAATGTTGATAAAGAAATAAACTTTACTTTATACCTTGCCCTCTGCTATAAGATTCTATTCGGCTGCGCCTCATTTTGACCTTAAGTTTACATTATTATTTTCTTAATCTTCGGAAGCTATAATCGAATATTTAATAAAAAACTTATATGAAAGTGAAGTTTTATTTTAATGAAAGCCACACTATATAAAAACAAACGAGTTCTTACGGAGAATTCCGTTAGAAAACCATTAGAAAAGCCATTTTCGACGGGTTATTGTCCCACCCAAATTTTTGTGTTGTTGATTTTACTATACCAACTTACATAAAATTTGTGTAGTTTATTGATGCTATATACCCCTAAAATAAATTATAATTTAGATTTTTAAGAAGTTCAATGGATTATATATACGATCTTCGTCATATCTAACATAAATTTTATGTGATTCGTCGTTGGATTATCATGCCCGCAAATAAAGACAATTAGTAAAAGACAATTTTATGTGATACATTACTAGCTCTCTCATAAAGTAATGCACCAATGTAAGTTTATAAAACGTCACTAGCTCTCTCACTTTCAATAAAGCGGCATTAAATGCTCATGCAATTTGTTTTAAATCGTTTTATATACTTGTTTTCATAGGTCATAGCTTCTTCTTTCGTACTTCAAAATTGGAAGTGGACTTGGCAACCACTAAATCATATAAGTGATTATTATAAAGATCATATAAGGGATTTTATGTAATATAGTTCACTGCGTTATATAATCGTTTAAGGTTATTAGTTGAGCTCGAATTTAGGTTTTGCTCTACCAAATATCACGAAGAAAGCTAGGTCTGTGCTGTCATTTTATACAAGTTATACAACACCCAAAAACCCTAATCGAAGTAGAATATTTAACATTAACATCATAAGAAGTCAATCACAACACTGTAAATATGTGCACGATATTTATCCATGTATCTGCGAATATAAACTCTCTTGTCTTTATTGAAATCAGGCAATCCAATCTCTTCTCTACAACAATCTATACAAGATCACTAAGTGCCCTACGAACTTGAACTCTAAACTATAAATAGTCTGTAGGACTTAAACTATAACTTCTCCATTAAAGCTGAAAACATAATGCGTCATTCTTTAACGTAGTAGATTAAGAGAATAATTACATGGAAAGGTTTTGGTTTTATAATAAGAACTGGTACAAGGGCCTTTCATTGCAACGAACGGCCTTTCAATAGTTCGTATATGGAAAAGGGAATGACATCTTGGGGATCGACTTGTAGGCAATACATGACAAGCCAAACTAGATCTGACTAGATTTCAACTCAAGATTAGAAAAAATAACTTTAATCACTCACATCAATGTTGATAACCACTGCAATATAGTTTTTCTTAAGTTCTTTAATATACACATAAGCAATGGCTTAACTATATAAACCTATAGTTGGAAGCATCTAAGATATTACATTTGATTTGAAACTCCAAAGAGTACGTAGCTCTAAGAGGGATTACCTCAGTAAGCAGGATTAATCACAATAATTTGAATATGGCAAGTTTCAAGTTGTGGGTTTGCCTCATCTTGCTTCTACTCGAGTTTTCTGTGCATCAATGCCGACCACTGGTTGCGGAAGAGAGGTCTTCAGATTCGGGGAACATAAGAAAGATTATGAGAGAACTTCTCAAGAGATCAGAAGAGTTGAAGGTGAGATCTAAAGGCGATGAGACGGTCCTAGGCAAGACCCTTGATTCAAAGCGACTCAGCCCCGGTGGACCAGACCCTAGGCACCACTAAAAAATGTGTAGTCTTATATCCTTTGGTGAGGTTTTCAAACTTGTAACGTTGATAGTGGCTTTTCAAAAGGGTTCTTTGGTGTAACTCTAAGGTTACCATGTTATTAACATTGAGATCAAAATAATCTTGAAATCCGAAGCGTCAGTATTTGTTTGTGTTTACCAAAAAGTCCAAAATTATGAGGAATGGTACTTATCCTTCTTTTCTTCCTTGAATAAGTACGAATGGTAAGTTAAATGACCACCACAAGTCCGGGGTTACACCAGTTAAATTAATTAGTAAGTATTGATTTCTACTGAACGCATTTTAAATCAAATGCTACACTTCTATAATCCATTTTCTGCTGTTCTAATCATGACATTCCGAAGACATCTTTGAAACGAGACTTTGATCAACGTAGAGAAAGTAAAGGGAGACCATATTAAATAATTCTTGTGAGGATATGATCTCTATATAATGTATAATGTATATAGTGGATTACAAATATCAACCTAAACAAATAATCCCACCGTTGCATAAGTCTGTGCCACGACAAAAATCGTAATCAGTTGAAAGTGGATGCTAACACATATGATTACATCAGAAAGTACACATGCACGCATGTATTAGACAACGATCTCTCTCTCTCTCTCTCTCTCTCTATATATATATATATATATGTATATTCTATAGCAAAGAAATTTATCATACCAAATTGTATAACTAAGTCGTGACTTGAATAAAGATTCAAGGGAATTTTCGGAACTTAGCTTCTCTGGCTCGTTGAACTGTCGCATGATTACCTGAAAAAGTGATTAAAAACTCAACTGAAACTGATTCAACTAACCAAATCCTAAATAAATTCAATGCACATACCTAAATGTTTAGTGTAATGTCTAGTGGATTTTTTTTTTTTTTTTTGTATGTGTGTGTTAAAGGTGTATGTCTTGATGGACATATAAAAATCTACCGAGAGTCGTGTAAGTAGCTCAAAGCCTCCAAAGTACAAGTAAGGATTTCTGTAAGATTGATTTAGATATAGCTCAAATCATGAATATTCTTAAGTATAATAGTTATCTCTATTTTACTATTTAATTTCTATTAGGAGCGGAATTGCTAATGGTCTAATTAGTAGTTAATGGACGGTTGCTAACCTCTTTCTTATGTTTTTATCTTTTAGAGATCCCTTCGTCTCTCTCTCTTAACAAGGTTAGAATTATTTATATGCTATATGTGATAGTTTATTTTGAAGATTTTTTTTTATTGGACTTTTCTAAGTCCATGTCCAACTCTTCCAATTAGTATGATATTGTCCGCTTTGGGTTCAATTAGCTAGCCCGTACGGATATAATTTTGGACTCCTTCCCAAAAGACTTCGTACTAATTGGAGTTGGACATTACTTATATACTAGACCATATTGGTCCAAACTTCCGATGTGGGAATTTGGATTGATTCCCAACAATCTCCCCCTCAAGCCAAAAACCACATAACTCTTGATCTCGAACCTACAGCGATACTTAGTACCATCATGTACATCTTAATCGCGAGGTCACTTTGAGGGTTTCTCCTTCCACAACGAACATTCAGCCCAACCCACTTCTCCAGGTCCATTTTTCTTTAACTTGGGTTTTGATACTATTTATTGGGCTTTTCTAAGCCCATGTCCAACTCCCCCAATTAATATGATATTGTCCGCTTTGAATCCAATTGGCAAAGCCCGCACGGATTTAATTTTGGGCTCCTTCCCAACAAGGATACTTAGTACCATCATGTACATCTTAATCGCGAGATCACTTTGAGGGTTTCTCCTTCCACAACGAACATTCAACCCAACCCACTTTTCTAGGTCTATTTTTTTTGTTTTAACTTGGGCTCTGTTACCATTTGTTGAGTTTTTCTAAGCTCATGTCCAACTCTCCCAAGTAGTATGATATTGTTTGCTTTGGGCTCAATTGGCAAAACCCACACGGATTTAATTTTGGACTACTTCCCAAAAAACCTTATACTAATTAGAATTGGATATTACTTATATATTAGATCATATTGATCTAAACTTTCGATGTGTGAATTTGGATTTTGGATTGATTCCCAACATCTTTTTGAAAGATACAAAATCTATTCTCAAAGCTAAGAGACATGTAATGTATCTAAACATCCATAGATGAGCCACGCCACAAGTCCGATCAGTTTAACAAGACAATCACGATGTTATCTACACGTAGATTTGTCCTTGTAATTGAATATGTGTCATATGAACGACATTGTTGTTTAAGCAGCTAATTAATTGTACTTTGGATTGTTAAAAAAAGAGAGTCAAATAGTATAAGATGAATAAACTAACTTTTGTTTTTTTTAAAAAGATGAATAAACTATTATTCATTTTTTATCTCATTGCCAAAACCAAAAGCAAGGGAGCCTTTTTTTTTTGTCACCAAGGTATTTCTTTTCCTTTATCTTAATAGGTCATCTCCTAAACGGCAGAAGAACTCAGTAGGTTAAAAGAGAAATAGCACACAACCTCTGCTGGTTAGTAATCCTTACCAAACGAATGGCATTTCATTGTCGTATTCATTAATTTTTTACCTTCTATTTGGCGTTCATATTTGGTCAATATATCAATTTCTAGGTAACTAAGTTAATGTGATCTAGTAGGTAGAGAATTTGCAATGTGGGTCAGAGACTCAGAGAAGGAGTCTCAATTGTTATCCTAGATTCCATTGAGTCACTGTAGACATCTTATATGGAAAGAGTACCCAACCTTTTACAAGTTTTGGAAGATTAATCTGATGTTCCGAAAAAACAAAAAACAGAAAAACGACCACGTCTGGCTGTCTGCTAATAAACATAAAATAATAAAATGTAATAATTAGCGTTTTTAGTTAAAGGGTTACGGTATTGTAAAACGTAATTTAATAAAAGAATGTATTGTCTTATCAGAAAACTGCAATTTGAACATTAACAGAGATTTGAAATTAAAAGATAGTAGTATAATATGAGTAAAGGGTATATGAACTATTAAATAGAAGTGCATATGAAGTTATGAACATGAACTACTGCCTAAGATGTGTGTGTCTGCTGATGAAATTAGAAACTTGTTTCATATATATCATTAGTACTGGAAAAAATTGTGTGTACGCATACTATTCGAATTAAACTTGAAAGATTAACATTTTTTGTTAATATTTTAGATGCAGGAGGAAGCAGCTCGTTTCCCCAAAAAAAAAAGCAATTTACAGAGTTTTTTTTGTTGAGAATTTGGGAGAGTAAAAACTAGAAGAAAATCGAAAACTTTTGAGAAAACATGAAGTACAGGCAAATACGTGTTTAGTTTTTTTTTATTAATCATGTGAATAATTTGAAACCTTTCCTTTAAATTTAGCGAGATAAAAACATCATCTTCACTATTTCTAAAAGTCAGAAGAATCTATACAAACCTTGCAAGAATACAAAAGTTTGAACACTTTGCTTTAGATAAGTTTGGAGTAGAATATATTGCGCAACACCTCTAAAGGATGTGAAGTATATACTATACATATCTTACAGTTGTATATAAAAGCTTGTAGTTATCACAAAAACTTCCAACCTTTTTTAGATTCTCCGGTGTAATTAGGAACACCATTTTGCATCAGTTTTCTTTTAACTAGCAAACCTATCATCTTTTACTTACGTACGACGGACAAGTATTAATCTAAACGTTTATAATTCTTACTAGCGGTGCAAAAAAAAAAAGTATCGTATAGAACCAACTGAAAGATGAACAGTGTGTAAGAGTACTATGAACTCCGTTCTGGTTAATATATATATATATATATATATATATATATGAAACTTAAGTGAAATATATTATTTATAATTCTATATATAGAAAAAATTAGTATAATAAGAAGGTAAGATATAGTGCATAGTGACTAATTAAGGTACTTCCAAATTAGATAAATAATATATGCAACTCCACCAATTGTTCAGCTATTGACATGGCCACTACTTGGAGTAGAGGGTTTCAACGAAAATCCCACGGTTAAAGGAGCTAGCTATTTAATTAAATTGATTAGTGGAGGAGCTACATATATTATGCATATAATTCGTAGGTATCTTAACGAATAGTGGCCACTAAGCATTATGATGTATCTTATTTACATCCTTTTTATCTATATATAGACTCACTTAAGCTTCCTTTTTAGTCATATCTTCCACAGTTCGAGCTTGGTCTTGATTTCACTTGATCCAAAATCACTCAACATGGCTTGTAAGGCGTTACTGTTAATCTTTGTACTCACATTTCTGTTGGTGATTGGAATAGAAGGGAGGATAGTTCGGGTTTCAAAAAGTAAAGATGGTGATAGCGACGATCTTTTGCAACGCTTAGGATACAATGTTTCTGAACTAAAGCGTCTTGGAGAGATTTCAACGCGAAATGGAATAAATAGGTTTTCTCCAGGAGGGCCAGACCCTCAACATCACTCTTATCATTTGTCTTCAAAGCCTTAATTTGATGAACTTGTGTTGCATTATTTCATGTCGAGTATTATATAACTCGAAAGTCATTGTGATAATTAATATCATCTACGATGTAAGATCGAGGATCTCCTGAAGTGTTATTGTAATTAAGTTTAATGAATTCAACCAATTAACCAATATTTTTCTCTAATCATGCGAACGACCAACATAGACATGCATGCATGCTACCGTATATTTTGAAGTTCAAGATCTTATAGCCAGCTCTTGTATCGTAATTATGATTCTATTACTAAGATAATCGATATTTTTATGAAACAGAAGATTATATATATTAAAACATAAAACATTAATATGTATATATATATTTATTAACCAATATTACAACATTAAACCTGAATATATCACTATTTTATTATTAATTTATATAGTGAAGGAAATATTTTAAAAAGTATTAACATCTTTATTAACTGATATCTTACAAATACATAAAATTTGGTAACTTTACAATATTATGTTTTCTTTCAAGAATATACATAAAATTCTTTTATTTCTAGTTTCACACTTACAACTCTGTCTACAGTAAATAATAATCTATATTTCCATGTCATTGAATTTTATAATCATTGAATATAAGATCGATTTTCCACTTTAGATGAAATTATTTTTTTAGCAATTTCTTTCTTAATGTCGTAGCAAACATGTGATGTTTATATGAACAAATACATTGCTAATTAGCAAAAAAAAAAAAAAATTGATGGGTATGCTTTTTAGCGAGCTAGGCATCATATTTTCCATGGCAATATCTTACAACGGACTAATCCATCCTAAAATTGTGTGGCAAAATATGCAGATTCTTCGAATGACATAAAAACGTAATCCTGAATTACACGAAGGCACGACCATCTATTTTCGAAATATGAGAATGTAGCAGAAATGTGGTGTAGTTTTGGTGGTCCCTTGGTCAACGGTTAGCAGTTAGAGATTTTTGCACCTTATGCATACGATTTCACCATAAATATCCTCTCATAGTCCCTTTGTTAGTATGCCAACTTAGCTTTTGCTAAACTAGAGGGAAACAAATAACCTCATCATCTCAAAGCCTTTCGAACTACAGATAAAATCATTCACAATTGGCTCACCATTTTTTTTGCTTTGGCTCAAGAGTGTTTAGCACCTTTTTTTCACACAAACAATGGAACAACTAAAAGTCCCAATTCATTTATTATTTTCTACATCCTTTTGTACATATCTCATTTTCTTATTGATCAATGTATTTAATTTTTGGCTTTAAAAAGAGACTGAATCAATGCACAACACAACAAAGAAAGTTGCATCATCGAATGTTTTCTTTTCTAAAAGTAAGACCAACTCCTAAATTAGTTTACCTTTTAAGCTCCCTTTAAGCATATACATATTTTCAATTATTAAAAAGTCTCACATGAAAAAAGAATATTGGTAAAGAAATTCAAAAACTGACATTAGAGAAAGCATGTGAATGGGGACGGCGACCTTCGAAATCCTAAATACATGAACCGTGGCGAACTGTTGCGAACTAAAGTGTGATGGTTACCACTTTTTCTGGATAGCTTTTCTTTCCTTTTTTTTGGCTAAGATTAAAATAACTTAGGAAGACAACATTTCGTAAACCGATGCCATTGGTGAACGAATTCTGGATAGCTTTGTTGCTCTTTAATTTCAATTCTATATTTCATCATTATTGTTTAACGTGTACTTAAATAACTATAATAAATTGTACTTATTTCACAGAATTACTAAATCATATATAGTGATTCACCAAAATACATGTTTCTGAAAAATGTTGGCTGGCACAAATATAAAATATTTAGGTTTCTGAAAAATAGTTGTGTGAAACATGAGAAAAAAATTATATATTTAATTGTATACAGATATCCTAAGGTGACTTAAATTGGATAATATACAAGGAAACCTTTTTCGAATGAGCAGTAGAATTGGGTAGAAATGGGTACGGTACACAATAAGGGCTGGCAATGTTTTCTATTTCTTATTCGTACTTGTATCGGGTTTTGGAATTTATAAGGGTTTGTAAACATTATTCTCATAATTAATAATAAAACCCTGAACAAAAAGATATTCACCTACTTCATGCATCTCTTTTTAGTTATTTTTTTGAAGTCAATTCTAGAAAAAACAAGGGTGTTAAGTCAAGAATAATTCTATCAAGAATGTTTTACTAGAAAGTAATTACTATTGGATTTTTAAATGATGATGGAGATAAACGAACTCCATAAAAAAATATATTATTTTTTGCTTCACAAATAATTAACCGTCGGATGAAGATAAGACTTACAATTTACAAATAGATTGATCTGACTATCTGAGGATTGACGTAGTGAGTAAAAGTATTTACTTTTATTGAATATTAGGTGAATACTCGGATGTTACGTGCAGGTTTTTCTTTTCAATTTTTTTAATTTTTTAAAATATTTTTATAAAAATTAATATAATCATCATTTGTTACTTACTTATTTATTAATATTTTATTTTAAAAAATTTAAAATATTAATTTAAAATACATATTGAATATTATTTAATAATTTAAAGTTAATATTAAAATTAATAAAAATTATTTAATATTTTTAATTAGTTATAACATAAATTTTTGTTTAACATTTACACAAATATTAATTAATACTAATTAATAAAATATTAAAATTACTATAATCATCATTTCATTTATTACTTGTTGTTAGTATTTTATTATAAATAATTTTTAAAAATTAATTTAAAATACATCTTGAATATTATCTTGAATATTATTAAGTAATCTACAGTTATATAAAAATTAAATACATATCTATCAATTTTTAATTAATTATAATATAATTTTGTGTTTAACATTAATATAAATGTTAATTAAGAGTCAATTAATAAAATACATTTTTTATATTTTTAAAATATTTTAAATTTAATATTAAAATTTATTAATTAGAATTTAAGTGACAAATGTGAATCTCTCCAATGCTGATGTGTCAAGCATATAGAGAAAGTTGAGCAACTTTTATATATAAAATTATTATATACTCATATTTACAGTCTACAGCTCAAACAAACAAAAATACTTACTATCTGCAGAGAAAATGTTCGCCTTTAGTACATAGGCTTTGAATGGTGCACAGGTCATATAATGCAGATCATTATAAACAGATCAAAAAAATATTAATTAAAAAATAAATAAGCTCTGCATGCAGAACTGGGTGAACAGCTGCTATAAATGAAAAAAAATATTTTTCTTTGAGTTTTAGAGTATTAAAGATCTGCATGCAGATCAATTAATTTTATATTAATATTTTTTGTTCTGCATACAATTTGTGAATGGTAAAAAAAAGCAGATCATCTTACATACAGATTAACTGCATTTTTTTTGTATTTATTCTGTTATCCATTCAAAGCCATAGTATAACAAGAGTGTTAGATTTAAATTCGAGGATATAAATGTATGTTATTTGAAGTAGCTAGATTGCACAACAAACAACGTATTCCAAATAAATACTTGATGACTAGATACTTTTTCAAAAGTAGTTTTTCTTTGTTATGTTTTCCGTTTTAAATTCATTAGGTTTAGCTTTAACTACATGTAGGGTTTGTCGAATAATGACATATCTATAAGAATTTGAATTTAATAAAGACATACAGTAGGACCTCTATAAATTAATACTCGATAAATTAATAATTACTATAAATTAATAAATTTTGTTGGTCCTAAGTCGGGTCAATGTAAAAATCCATCAAATTTGATAAGATAATAAGATCATAACTTTTTTTGAAACCCTTATGTAAATACATGTTCCCAACAAAAACATAAATTAATAATTATATAAATTTATGTAAATATATGTAAATATAATATTATAAATATGATTAATATGTTTGTTTTTACTTAAAGTTAAAATCTCATTGCTTCCAATCTTTCTAATTATTATATTAATAGCTCTTACTGTTATTTACTATATATATATATATATATATATATATTCAAAATTTATGATGATTTTTTATGTTATAATTGATTTGTTTACCTATAAATGTTTTTAAATATATTGTAGTGTTATCTTCAATTTTATCAGCAATAATACTGATAGTAGCTATAATTTTTTTTTATAAATTTTAACTTATGAATATGTATATTTTTACATAGACAATCCAATATGGTGTTAAAAACTATTTTATTGTGATAATTATAATATTTAAGCATAATTTATATTATGAGATTTGTTAAAATTTTAAAATATAACATTATTTCAAAGAAAGTTTTAGAAAATTATATGTAGAAAGCAAATTTTCTTTATAAATTAATATCACGATAAATTAATAAAATATCATGGTCTCAACTTTATTAATGTATAGAGATTTTACTGTAATTATTTTATCGATATCCTATATAGACTCTTAATAATGCGTATATTTTATTTAATTTTATATAAATGTAAATTCTTGTTATTGACAAAGAAATAAATTATAAAAAAAAAAACTGAATCTTCAATATGGTATCAAAATGGTTGTCCCATGTTAGGCTCAAAGAGTCGATTTAGAAATATATAGAATATACACATCCATGTGATAATTAATAATAATAACGAGCTATATGAATTCTAATTGCTTCTTTTTGTCGAAGTCTTATTATTCTTTTGGAGTGTATCACACCTATGCAGATATATTCTGTTACTATTTGAATCTCGACTATATTTTGTTGATTGGATCACCAAGATCGTGAATATATAATATTCTGTAACAGAAACTTGAAATGTTATGTAAATGAATTTGTATAAATTAAACTGGCTGTTACTTAATTGGGAATTATGAACTAAGCATCATTTTAAAGGTCTGCCAGTTTGAGCCCATAAGTCTACTGTAATTTGGCCCATATATATATATATATATATATATATATATATCGCCCATACACTTGACAAATTTTCTTTTCTAAATCAAGCATACCTTTCTTACAAATATTCCTCCTTTTTTAAAAAAAAAAAATCTCTCTTCAAAGC